AGCCCAGCCACAAGGCCTTTAGCAGAGCAAAAGCTTTTAATTTTGGTGAGGTCCAGTTTATCAGTTTTTTATTTTATGGAATGTGCTTTTGGTATTAACTTTTTGTAGAAGTTTTATTGCTTCACCTTTTACATTTAGATGTGCAGTTCGTGCAGGGTAGAGGCAGACTTTTTTTACATATGTATATCCTATTGACCAACACCATTTATTTGAAAAGGTTTTTCCTGCTGCTCTGCATTGTCAAAATAAATTGAGAGTCTACACGTGTGTGGGTTTATTTTCAGACTCTATTTTGTTCTGTTGGTTTATTTCTCTATCCCTAAGCAAATACTTCAGGGTCTTATTTACCAAACTATATAATAAATCTTGATATCTAATACTGTAAGTACTTCAGATTTGTTCTTTTTCAGGATTGGCCCTACTGTTCTTGGCCTTCTGCATTTATTTCTATGTAAAATGGAGAATTAGCTTGTGAGTTTTACATGATTTTGATTGGGACTGCACTAAATCTTAGATGAATCTGGGGAGAAATGACATCTTTACAGTTCTGAGTCTTTCAGCCTAGAGGCATGGTGTCTCCCTCCATTTGTTTAAGTCTATTCTCATATCTTTTCATAATGTTTTGTGGTTTTCTGTGTACATCTTTTGTTAGATTTATTCCTAGGCATTGATGCTTTTGGATACTATTCTATTATTCTATTATAAATAGGAGATGGACATCTGCTTCTGAATAGCTTTGGTCTTCTCAGGTTACATGTTTCTGTCTGGAAGATTTCTGCAAGCTTTGGAGCTGTCCTGGGGAGTGGCTATACCTGGTCTTCAGCCAGGGGCTCTGCTGATGTGTTTGGAATAACTGGGGCTGTGATTTCTCACCCAAGCCCAATGGAGCTGGGGGGTGGCAGCTGAGAGTGTGGGGATGGGGTGAGGACCAGCCTTCGGGGAGCACTGGAGATGTGGGGGCAGGACTTGCAGGAGTGAGCTCGGCAAAGGGGCGATGGGCAGAGAAAATGGGCAGAGAGAATGATAGCAGAGAAGCGATGGCAGGGAACGGGGTGTAGAATTGAGCTGATGGGGTGGGGACAGTCACTGGTGGTGATGGATTGAGGGTATAGGACATTGTTTCGAAGAAGAGGTCAAGGCTGTTTGAAGGATCATCCAGGAGAATGTTGAGGCCACAGGAGTTCAGACAGCGATGGGTGCCGGATGGTGCCAGCAGCAAGGGCTAGTGCTGGGTGGTGACTGCGTCCCAGCTGGGACTCTTCAGGGCAGGGGCTGCAGACCTCAGCTAGAAGCAAGGGGAAGGTGCCTCCCCTCCAGGCCCCCAGACAGGGCTGGCAGGGAGGGAGCAGTGCAGAAAGAGCCAGGTTCCTTCAGCAGGGAGGATGCCATAGAGGGCTTCAGGATGAGGGTGTGGAGAACCTGGGTCAGAAGCCCCTCCTGTGTCCTGCTTCTCTGGTTACTACTCACCTCTGCCTCTCTCCCATCTCAGCCAAAGTTCTCAGGAGGGTTCCCCCTTGTAGGGGTGATACCTTCCACCTGTATCCTTCCCCACTGCTTGTTCCCCCTCAGGCGGCAGGGATCTCCAAATCTTTTCTTACAAAAGATAAAAAGGTTTGTTGTTCTTTAAAAAAGATCACATGTGCACATGGCAGGTGTGTCTATGGGCATGGATGAGTCAGGTCTGACTCAGGGTCACCATGTGTGCTGCCTAAGCCCATGGTCCAGAGGTGGGTCCTGCTTTTATTTTGTAGGTGTGAGTGATGAGGGAATTGAGGGTCCATCTTCTGTCTGGCATCTACAGTGGGATTTGTGTCCTTCCGTGAACTGTCAGTCCTTTGCCCACTTGGGTGTGGCTCCTTTGTGGATTGATCTGAGGATGACTTTGTCTCATTTATTGTAAATGTTTTTGCCCACTTGGTCATCTGTCCTATGATTTCATAGGTTTGGTTTTGATTTATTTTAACAATGTAGACATTTTTTTTCTTCTTCTTTTTTTATTTATAATGTCTAGATCATAACACATGCAAATGCAGAAATTTTGAAAATTTGTTTTGTTTTTTGAAGCAGGGTCTTGCTCTGTCACCCAGGCTGGAGTGCAGTGGCTCCATCCATAGCTCACAGCAACCTCAAACTCCTGGGCTCAAGCAATCCTCCTTCTGCCTCAGCCTCCTGAGTAGCTGGGACTACAGGTGTGCACCAGCACACCCAAGCTAACTTTTTTTTTATTTTTCTAGAGACAGGGTCTTGATGTGTTGCCCAGGCTGGTGTGGAACTCCTGCCTTGGCCTCCCAAAGTGCTGGGATTACAAGCGTGAGTCACCATGCCAGACCCATCTTGAAAATTTAGTGCAATCAGATTTATCAGTTTTTCTTTTCTGTTTCTGGAGTTTGTGTCAACTTTGGGAAGCTTTCTCCCTTGCTGGGATTCCTTCTTGTACTGTTGTGGTTTTATTTTTTCCTTAAGGTATATGTCTGTGATGTGTCCTGGTCTGTTCTGGTGCGAGGAGTGGGGTGGATTCCTGTCCTGTTGTTCCAGGCGGTCACTCACTGTCCAGCACCCCATACTGAGAGGTCTGCCCCCATTGGCCCTGCATGGAGCCCCACCCTGCTACTGTCCCAGCTTTCCTGCAAGATGCTCTAGGCTCCTGTCTGCGCCCCAGCTGGCCATGCCCTCCTGGACACTCTCCTGGGCTTCCTGGCCCTGATCTCTCCCTGGTGCTCTTCCTCCATTGTCACCACCCACTCCTCCAGTGCTGGGGTTCTCCACTGCCAGGGGTCAGTTGTGTGTGGAGCACATGTCGCCCAAGTCCCTGGCTGCCAGTGGCTGAACAGGGCTTGTACCTAGAGCCCCTGCATGCACCCTCAGTGTGTTCAGCGGCTCTACCAAGAGTCCATCCCTGCAGTTCCTGCCCCCCAGACGTCCCTTTGCTTGTACAGATAAACAAATCTGTGTATACATAGCACCTTTAACCAGGGTGGAGTCAGCCTCTGCACTGTGGTCAACATAGTGTAGCCACTGTCCGGTGACGGTTAGATCTACGTCATCTTGTTAACACATACGTGTGTATAGATGTTATTCCATAGACCGACTAGACATATTACTTTTCCCAAAATGATGGGCAAATAAGTTTCCCAGGTTTTGCTCTTACAGATATTGCTACAAATAAAACTCTTTTGGTTGCGAGTGACAGGAACCAACTCCAACAACCCTAAGCACAAGAGAGAGGTAAAGCCTCCCTCCAGGGAGGGCAGGCAGAGGGCGGGTGATGCTGGGCTGGCCCTCTTGCTGTCCAGTCACTGCCTACTACTTCCTGGCCTCCTCCCGCCCCTGCCCCTCCCTCTCTTCTTTCATGTCTCGAACAGCACACAGCCTCCACCTACCCCTCGTCCCTGTCTCAGGGTGAATAAAGCAGACACTTTCTGCCCCTTTGGGCTCTAGCCGCACCATGGATGCTGAGAGGTGGGCACGGAAGGCACAACAATGGAGTGGTTAACGGGGGCTCTCAATTTAGGTGTGCCTTGGTCTCCCCAGGTGAAAAATGGGATGCTGGCAGTGCCCACCTGTGGAGGGCAACAGCAGTGCGGGTGGTGCAGGGGCACTCAGGTCTGGGGCCTGGGCACTCAGGCAGGCATGAGTCTGTCCTCGTTGGAGGTGCTAGGAATCTGGGCCGGGGTCTGGGTGCTGGCCTTCCACCCTGAAGGCCAACTGCCCCGTGATGTGCAGACTGAGGGGACAGCAGGGTGGGGGGTGGGGGGACAGTGGCCCGTGTTCTTCTAGGACACTCCTCCCGCCTGGGTCCCACATTCCCACTCTCCTGGGCTTGGAGCTGAGGACTGGGATAAGTCAACTGGATTATCTCTGTTCGACATTGCAGGAAGGCTTGGGGGAGGGTTTATGGAGTTGGAGGAGCCACCCTGCCCAGCCCCCTCTTGGCCTGGGTGGGATATGGTGGCCATTGAGCTATTTGGTGGTGCTCTGCCAAGCCGGCCACCAAGCCCCTGTAGCTCAGCTGAGGGGTGCATCTTCCAGGCTCTGGCAGGCTGTTCCTACTCCTCTCATGGCTGGAAGGAGGGGCCCAGGCTTGCTAAGGTTCAGCTGAGCAGCCAAGATTCAGGTCGGCAGGAGGCGGCATTTCCTTCTGGAGCCCTCGGACCTGCTGTATTCCATTTGTTCTCTCAGGTTGTTTCTTCTATAGGATATGGGTGTCAGCATACCTTATCTTTTATAAAATGATGGGGGTAGTAGGTGACGTTCCCTTCCTGGAAGAAGGGGGCGTTCATTGAGACCTCTGCATGCAAGTCTGGCCAGAGAAAGGTTGGGTTAGTATCTACATGGCCATGAGGACTGGCTGAGTGGAAAATGGGACACCTAGTGGGCATCCTCTGGGCAGAGCATGGCCAGTGCCTTCTGAGGAGTGGCCTGTGACCAGTCCAGGGGCCACACTTAGTGTGTTGGGCAGGGCTGCGCCCCAGCTGAAACTGTGTCTTTCTGTCCCAACAGACCCCAAGCCAGGTGGGCTCCTTGAGCCTCTGTTCACACAACCTTGGCTTTTCTTGCAGCCCAGCATGGCTGAAGCATTGACTGGCCTGGGCCAGGGAACCCAGCAAGGAAGAGGTCTAGGTCCCGGGCAGTGAGAACTGAGTGTTGGTCAGGAGAGCAGACACCCATGTAGGGCCCTCAGAGCAGTGCCTTGCCCTGGTGGGGCAGCAGGGAAGGCCCTGCTGTGTGTGGGCTGTTCTGGCTTTCAGCAGCCCTTTCTGAAAAAGAGGTGTGGGAAGAGCCTGGGATAGCCCTCCCCTGCCCTTCCCGAGTGTGTAGGGCAGAGAAACTTCTCTCAGGACTGCTGCTGGCAGTGCTCTCTTTGGGCAGGGGGGCTCACACAGGTGGACCCCGAGATGGCAGGGAGCCTGGTCTCACCTGAGGCCAGGGGCTCAGGAGCACGGGGCTCCCTGGAGCCTGCTTTGGCACCTGCCTGGATGTGCGTCCTTGTTGCTCCTCAGGTGTGCGTGGTTCCGGAAGGGGAGGCTGTCCTGAAGACACTGTCAACAGGCCCACCTGTGCCCTCGTGCCCTGGCCGCCTAAAGAGTCCCTGGGCACTGGCCACTGGGACCCAAGGACTCTGACCACATGCCCTGCTCCAGCCTCTGAGGCTGCACCTCCTCATTAGCACTGATGCACTGACTGTGGGGACAGCTGGGAGGGTCCAGGTTGGGCCATGCCTGCTCCCAGGCCCCCCCAGGCTCCTGAGGCCTGGAAGGTGAACTGAGGGATTTCAGGGGCTCCTGGCTGATTGGATCTGCCTGCCCTCCCTTCCCCCTCAGCAAGGTGCCAGGAAGCTGGAACTTTGTTATCTGGGTAATTAGCTTCAGACCCTGGACTGAGGCCAGCCAGGTCCTGCACACTGTGCACCCTGACCCCAAGAGGGAGGCAAAGCTGCCCACACAGAGGCCCTGCCTGTTTAGCAGCTCTAGGCCAGGCCTGCCTAGGGAGCGGGCTGTGGGTACCTTGCCACGTTGCCCTCACTGCCTGTGGTTCGTGCCCCATAGGGTGGCCTGGGCACCGTGTGGGTCCTCCTGACCCAACTGTGCCAGGACAAAGGGCACTGAGCCCTGGGAAGGGGATGCACCCAAGGTTGCCAGTCCAGCCAGCTGCCCCACCCCTCAGGCCCGGCCTGGCACCCGAGCCCCCCGCTCTGGTGCCCCGAGCAGCCCTGCAGGCTGGTAGCATCCACCATGGCCGAACACCTGGAGCTACTGGCAGAGATGCCCCTGGTGTGCAGGATGAACACGCAGGAGCGGCTGAAGCATGCCCAGAAGCGGCGTGCCCAGCAGGTGAAGATGTGGGCCCAGGCCGAGAAGGAGGCCCAGGGTAAGAAGGTCCATGGGGAGCGGCCGCGTAAGGAGGCAGCCGGCCGAGGGCCCCAGAAGCAGGTTCTCTTTCCACCCAGCATTGCCTTGCTGGAGGCTGCTTCCCGCAATGACCTGGAGGAAGGTGAGTGCGGTTGAGCTCTCTGCACAGTGGATGGCCCTCACCATGGCCATCTGGGCGCTGTCTCATGTCAGGGTTCAGGGCTGGGCCTGTCTGCAGCTCTTGGGCTCTAGACCCCAGATCTGGCCAGGCCACCTCAGCCTGGGCAGTCCTGGGTCCCCCCATCAGGCAAGCCCTAAGCGGTAGGCAACCCTGAGTCCAGCCCGTGCTGGGACAGCTGTCCTTCAGATGGGGGCTTTGTGCAGAGGGGTCCTGATGTGAGGTGAGCTGAGCTGCCAGTGGTGGGCCATGGGGCAGGCCCACAGGAACCTGCATAAGCACCTAGTGCCTGGCCCAGCTGGATCTGGGGTGGCTGACAGCCTACACTGCCTCTTGCCAGGGTGCTGGGATGCTCAGGAGAATCCTGGTCTCCACCTCCATAGAGTAGGATGGTACCGCCAGAAGGCAGTGCCGGCCAGGCCTGGGGTAGACCCAGAGCCCACATTGGCCAGAGCTCAGTGACAGGCCTGGGCTCTCAGTAGGCTCCTATTCCTCCCTGTGCCCCATGCTTGTAGCCCCAGCTGTGTGCGAGTTCCATTTCTGGTGTCCTGGCATCTAGGGGGAAGAGGCCTGGAGGCAGGGGATGAGGAAGAGGGTGCTGTGGGTGTACCATAGGGAGCTGTGAGAAGGCAGGCGTGTCCTCCTGCTGTATGCGAGGCACAGCCAGCGAGGACTCTAGTGACCTTGGCAAGAGCTGGGGCCTGAGATGGGATCTCTGAGGTGCAGGGATGAGCTCTGCAGGGTGGAGGAGGGGGCCCCAGTGTTGGGTGCTAGAGGACCCAGCAGAGAGTGAACACAGGGCTAGGGGTGGGCAAGGCCCCCTGGTTACTGTGAATGGTGAGGCAGGTGGTGCTTCCAGGCTGCAGTAGCTTCAGGGCAGGCAGGGAGTTGGGATTGTTGGAAGGCTGCTGTCACACAGGACGGCCTGTTTGCGGGTCTGGGGTTGGAGCTCCAGGATGCAGGGCCTGCAGGCATTGGAGACAGAGGGCTTCAGGGGGTGTGGGCTGCTTGGGGTGGACAGATACTGCTGCTCCTGAGCCCTCCCCTGGCTCTGTGCCTCCCGCCATCTGTGCCACTGGCTTCTTCCCACTGGCTTCTTCTCTGTCCCTCCCCAGTTCCTGGGCCACGGCACAGTTGGCTCAGGGGCCTGACCAGGGACAGCACAGGCTACACAGGACCCCACCCCAACCTTGTCTTCCCTGTCTTGCAGTCCGCCAGTTCCTCGGGAGCGGGGTCAGCCCTGACCTGGCCAATGAGGACGGCCTAACGGCGCTGCACCAGGTCAGCCTGTACTGGGGGTGGGTGGGGCAGGGGGGCTTATTCCTGTCTCTGGCCGCTCAGGTCGTATGATTTGCAGTGTTGTATTGATGACTTCCGAGAGATGGTGCAGCAGCTCCTGGAGGCTGGAGCCAACGTCAATGCCTGTGACAGTGAGTGCTGGACGCCTCTGCATGCTGCAGCCACCTGTGGCCACCTGCATCTGGTAGAGCTGCTCATTTCCCGGTAGGGCCCACTGAGTGTCTTTGTCAGGGAGGGGCTTCCTCAGAGGGCAGCTCAGGTGGCTGCTCTTCGTGAAGTGTCTCTGGCCCTTGGTCTCCTGTGTTCTACCTTAACCATTGCTGACCCACCCTCCCTGTGTCCTGGTTTGAGAGCAGGGCCTGGGGCCCCAGGGGGACAGGCATGTGCTCAGGGCACCATGGTCTTTGGCCTGCCTGGCATGCATCCTCCTGCCAAGAGGGCAGGACCTCCAGCTCTGGCCTGAGGGCCTCCCCAGGGTCTGCACAGAGAAATGCCATTTTGGTCAGAGTGATGAGTGTTGAATGTAAGGAGGGAAGGGTAGTGTAGAAGCCAGGTGGGCCTGGGATGGTCGGTACCTGGGCATAGGTGGGGCCTTTACCTTTAACAAGGAAGGCCCCTGAACAGCTGCCTCTGAGCAGGGAGGGTGGTGGCTTCATCAGGAGCCTCCTCCCTTCCTTTCCTCCTCAACTCCACGCCCCTCCAGTAGGACAGAGGGTCGGTCGGTTCAGGCCATCCTTGGAGCAGTCTAGGTGAGGTCAGTGGCTGTGTGGGTGGATGGCAGTCCTGTTAGACATAGGTGCCACAGAGTTGGGTGGGGTGTGCTGGAACTACAGGGGGTGAACACAGGCAGGCCCCCAGAGCTCCCGCAGCCCTGCAGGGCTTTCGAGCAGAGCTTCTACCTGGGCCCGTTCCTCCCTACCACCTTCTGCCTCTGGGTCCCCTAGAGTCCAGCTGCCCTCAGCAGGTGGGCCTATTGTGCACGTTTATGGGGGCAGACAGTTGCCAGGAACTTGGAGCCCTGGTCAGTAGGACTGCAGGATGGCTTCTCTGGTTTAAACACAGGATCCAGGGCTGAGGGGCCTAGAGGCAAGCTCTCCCAGCAGTAGGTGGGGCCTGGGCCAAGTCCTCCATGCCTGCCCTGTACTTCCTGAGGGGCAGCCCTGGGCTCTGCAAAGGGAGGACATGCTGGGGACCTCTCTGAGGAGCCTGGTCCTGTGGCCAGTGCCCCCCATCCATCCTACCTGCAGTGGCGCCAATCTTCTGGCGGTCAACACTGATGGGAACATGCCCTATGACCTGTGTGAAGATGAGCAGACACTGGATTGCCTGGAGACCGCCATGGCCAACCGCGGTGAGTGTGGCTATGCCTGCTGGAGCGGGCTGGGCTCCCAGTATGCTCACTCTAAGCCTGCTGCCTCACAGGCATCACCCAGGACAGCATCGAGGGGGCCCGGGCTGTGCCAGAGCTGTGCATGCTGGAGGACATCCGGGGTCTGCTACGGGCTGGGGCAGACCTCGATGCCCCCCTGGACCACGGGGCCACACTGGTGAGAACTGGGCGGGGAGTTGGGGGGAGCCTCTACTGGAAGGGCACGGGGCTGGAATTCAGGCTGGACTGCTTGCCTGCAGCTGCACATTGCTGCTGCCAACGGGTTCAGCGAGGCTGCTGCCCTGCTGCTGGAGCACCAAGCCAGCCTGAGCGCCAAGGACCAGGATGGCTGGGAGCCACTACACGCAGCAGCCTACTGGGGCCAGGTGAGTGCAGGGTTGGGAGCAGGTGAGTAGGGGTGGGCTCCATGGCTTCAGAGCCTTCCGCAGCCCTGGCTTGCCGGCCCACAGGTGCACCTGGTGGAGCTGCTCGTGGCACATGGGGCCAACTTGAACGGAAAGTCCCTGATGGACGAGACGCCTCTTGGTGAGCTCAGGGGGTGCCCACTTCTACCTGGTGGAGGGGAGGCAGGGAGGGTGCCCCTGATGCCTGCACTCACTTCTCCCCAGATCTGTGTGGGGACGAGGAGGTGCGGGCCAAGTTGCTGGAGCTGAAGCACAAGCACGATGTGCTCTTACGCGCCCAGGGCCACCAGCACTCCCTGTTGCGCCGCCGCACCTCCAGCGCAGGCAGCAGAGGGTGAGCCGTCTGCCCAGCCCCCAGCCCCTGCCCTCCCGCAGGCCCTGCCTCCCCCACCCCCCACCCCGCACCCGGACAAAGCCCCTGCTGACATCAGCCGCCTGGTGGAGGTGCCAGTTGGAACTCTGAGCTCTGGGGCAGAGTCCGTGGGGCAGGCAGTGTCCTCCTCTTACTCTCCCCACTCCAGGAAGGTGGTGAGGCGGGTGAGCCTAACCCAGCGCACCAACCTGTACCGCAAGGAGCATGCCCAGGAGGCCATCGTGTGGCAACAGCCACCACCCCTTAGCCCAGAGCCTCCCGAGGATGACGAGGACGGCCAGACAGATGCTGAACTTGGGCCGCCGCCCATCGAGGTGTGTGCCCTGCCCCTGCTGGGCCCAAGTAAGGCTTCCAACCTTACTTGGGTGCCTCGGTTCTCCCTCTGCACTGGCCCCCTCTGGAGGCAGTGGGGTGGGTGCCCCACAGGTCAGCTGCTGCCTCCCACTCCCTGTTTTCTGTTCCTCCATGACCATACAGGCTGGAGGCTAAGGCTGGGGAAGATGTGAGGGGGTGCCTCCTGATGCCTCTGGGGCCTTCATTCTGTCCACAGGAGGACAGCCCTGAGGCGGCCAGGCCACACAATGGTCGAGTAGCGGGTCCCCCGGGCCGGCACCTGTACTCTAAGCGACTGGACCGGTGTGTCTCCTATCAGCTGAGCCCCCTGGAGAGCACTGCCCCCCACACCCTTGTCCGAGACAAGGCCCACCACACCCTGGCAGAGCTCAAGCGCCAGCGAGCTGCTGCCAAACTGCAGAGACCTGCCCCTGAGGGGCCTGAGGCCCCTGAGTCTGTTCTGCCTGCTGATACCGGGAGCCCTCAGCCTGATTGTGGCTTTGGGGCGGCAGTGGATCCACCCTTGCTCAAGCTCACAGCCCCATCAGAGGAGGCTCCGGTGGAGAAGAGGCCATGCTGCCTGCTCATGTGAGAGGCTGTCGGCCTCAGGGGGCATGGCCCCTGCCCTGCAGGCCTCCACCCCACAATGTGCCCTGACTTCTGCTGGCCAGGACGTCCTCTCTCAGGGATGGACCTGTGGCAGAAGACGTGCGTGGGGGGCAGCTAGCTGCAAAGACTGTTTTTATCCCATGATTCCTGGTAAAGGGCTGTTTTGTCACCGAGCCTTGTGTGTGTCTCAGTTGGGCCACCGTCCCCACTGTGGTGAGCAGGTTGTGCTGCTTTACTGGGTAGCTGCCTGTTCCCATGAGCATCTGAGGCCTGTAGGTGCACGCTGGGGCTTGTGGCAGCCCCAGCCCGTGTGTGGGAGCGAGGCCCATGGCCACCGGGCAAGAAGCCTGGCCCTCACCCAGACCCACCCTCATAGCTTCCTGGAGGCTCCTCTGTAACTCTTTGCCTTCTTGAGAGGAGCAGGGTGCTCTGGAAGGCGATTCCTTGGGGGCCAGGGTTGAGGGTGTCTGTGTCAGAGGGGCAGGAAAAGAGGAAAGAGGTGTTTTCTATCAGACTCTTGGGCCAGAGCTAGAGGTGTAAAATGGGTACAAGGCTGGTGTCACAAGCTCCCCTGGGGGGGGCGGGCAGTGGCTGTGAGGCCCCAGTTACTGGCAGGCAGCCCTGATCCTGGGGCCTGGCTGCCAGCTTCTGCCTGGGCTGGCATAGAGGACAACCAGTTGGCCTCTTGTTCTCTGAGCTGGCTGGGCACAACGTGTCAGGGTAAGAGGGGCCCCTAAGGGGCTTCAAGCAGGAGGACTGAGGGCACTGCCAGTTCATCTATGGCAGACAGCTTCCTACCACCACCACTACTGGGGATATAGGTGTGGGCCACCCTCCCTACTGGCTTGGCACCAGCAGGGTCAGCCCACTGTCCCTCCAGCCTGTCCTTCCCCTAGCATCTGTGGCTGTAGGAGTGTCCTTAGCAGGGCTGGGGGAGGGCCAGGGGCTGGCTGCTGGTTAAATTTAGTGTGTGAGGTAGGGCAGCTGCCCAAGGTCCAGCTGCCACTTGGGCCCTGCTGCCAGGGGGCGGACAGGGGCTGGCTCTGCCTGGGAGGCTGTTGTGGCAGTGGAGCTGAGAGGTGTGAGGTGAGGGGGTGGCCAGCCAGGGCTCCCTGATGGCTTCTGTCTTAACCAGCAGGGTCAGAGGAGCAAAGACCCCTTCCCCGCCTTGGCTCTGACCAGCTACCTACAGCTCAGCTCAGAGGGCCAGCTCCCTGACCCTCAGTTCAGGTTTAGATGCTGGCTGCTGGGGTAGGCCAACCCTGGGCATGGCCTGTCAGCTCCCTGCAGGGCCTGTGGAGGTGGGGCTCAGAGGGCCTATCAGGGCTCCCTTCCTGCTCTCTCCACCAATCAGGAGCAAGAGTGAAGGGGAGCGTGGGTCACCCCTGGCCTGGGGTGTGGTTCCGGGGCAACACCCAGCTGGTGCCTGGTGAAAGGGCATGACCGCAGCCTGGACAGCTGAGGTGTGAGGTGTCCCTGGGCCCAGGGCTGGTGTGTCTCCAGCCCCCTTGCTTAATATCCCTAACCCCCTGCAGTGCTGATCAGGTACCAAGGTCCAATCATAGTGCCCTTGCAGCCTCCAGGCCATGGCCACCAGCCCAGAAGGGACTGGATGGAACCCAGAGGCTGAACTTCTCACTCCCCTCCCCCAGATTCCTGAGTCCTGGCTTGGTTACCTAGGAGACAGGTCCACTGGCCCCAGCAAAGATGGGGGCACTGAGAGGGCTAGGCCTCAGCCGAGCCCTGCTGGGGTAAATCTCCAGCGGCCTCAGGCTCCATTCTCACCTTGGGGGTCACCCTTTCCAGCTCTGCCAACCCCCAGGGCTGTTGGGCCCAGGCTTAGCCACCCTCCCCCCCCCCATGACACTTAGTTCCTAGACCTTACTTCTGTATCTGCCCCCATCTGGGTCTCCTGCTCTCTTGTCATGGGGACACTGGGCGGGCACTGGGCCTCGCCCCAAGCTCCGCCTGCTGCCTCACCCACTCCCTCTGGCTCCCTGGGGCAGAACTGTGCCCAGACGGGTGGGGCGGGGCCCAGCTGTCCCCAGCTCCTTCAGCCCTTTTTGTCCCTTTCAGTGGGACCAGCAGGCTCCAGCGAAGAGGGTGCCCTCTTACCTTGAGTCTCCCCAAGCCAGGCTCCCCTCTCTGAGCCCTGGTCCACTGAGCCTGGACCCACCTCCCCCTACCCCCACTTTGGGGTCCTGCCGTCTGAGCTGCCTTCCTGCCTGGTCTGAGCAGAGCCATGGCCTTGAGGGCAGGTAACCAGAGCCAGGCTACACGGAATGGGCTGAAGGAGAAGGTGCTGACACTGGACACCATGAACCCGTGCGTGCGGAGGGTGGAGTATGCGGTGCGCGGCCCCATAGTGCTTCGTGCCTTGGAGCTGGAGCAGGAACTGCACCAGGTATGGCCCCGGGCCCCACTGCTGACTTCCAGGTTGCACCTGGGCAGTTGAGTAACCCCCAGCTCCAGTGGCACATGGGACAAGGGCTGAGGGGTTAATGGGGTCCCATCTCACTGCTGGCTCCCCTTCCTTCCCAGGGTGTGAAGAAGCCCTTCACGGAGGTCATCCGTGCTAATATCGGGGACGCACAGGCCATGGGACAGAAACCCATCACCTTCCTGCGCCAGGTGAGGCTTCTGCACAGCCCGTGGCATGCCCCCTCACCCTAGCCCATGTGCCTGGCCTCAGTACTTGGTCCTCCCAGGTCCTGGCCCTCTGTGTAAACCCGGATCTCCTGAGCAGCCCCAACTTCCCTGACGATGCCAAGAAAAGGGCGGAGCGCATCTTGCAGGTGTGCGGGGGCCACAGTCTGGGTAAGTGCCAGTTCCAGACCCAGCGCAGCCCCAGGGAGAAGCAGAGAGGGGTAGACCTGCCTGCTCAAGGGGTAGGTTCCTTCAGAAGGGCTGCAGGGGGACTTGGTCACCCTCATGTGCACCCCTCCCCGTCCTTCCCTGCACCCCCCGGGGTCCAGGGGCCTACAGTATCAGCTCTGGCATCCAGCTGATTCGCGAGGACGTGGCTCAATACATCGAGAGGCGCGATGGAGGCATCCCCGCGGACCCCAAGAACATCTTCCTGTCTACGGGGGCCAGCGACGCTATCGTGGTAGGCCGGGCCTGGGCAGGAAGACACAGTGGCCCTTTGTGTGCGGCCTGGCCGACCTGGCTTGTTCTGGCACCGCAGCGCTCACCCAGGGCGGGGGACTGGTGTAGCCTCAGGCCCTGCCAACCTCACCCAACCCTATCCCATCCGCAGACGGTGCTGAAGCTGCTGGTGGCTGGCGAGGGCCACACGCGCACAGGTGTGCTCATTCCCATCCCCCAGTACCCGCTCTACTCCGCCGCGCTGGCCGAGCTCGACGCTGTGCAGGTGGACTACTACCTGGACGAGGAGCACGCCTGGGCGCTCGACGTGGCCGAACTGCGGCGCGCAGTGCGTCAGGCACGTGACCACTGCCGCCCGCGCGCGCTCTGCGTTATCAACCCTGGCAACCCCACCGGTGCGCCGCCCGCCCCTCCCGCCCGGCCCGCCCAGCCCCGAGGCGCGTCCCCTGTCCAGTCTGCCCGGGTCAGCCCGCCCCCCGCTGCCCGGAGGAAAGGAGTGCGCGCCCTCAGCTGACACCGGCTGCGCTACATCCCCCGCGCCCCAGGGCAGGTGCAGACCCGCGAGTGCATTGAAGCTGTGATCCGCTTCGCCTTCGAAGAGCGGCTCTTTCTGTTGGCTGATGAGGTGCGGGCAGGGCCGGGTGTGGGAGTGGGAAGCAGGGCAGCAGCCGGCTCCCCGTGACGCTCCACCGCCCCTCCAGGTGTACCAGGACAACGTATACGCCGAGGGTTCGCACTTCCACTCGTTCAAGAAGGTGCTCACGGAGATGGGGCCGCCCTACGCCGGGCAGCAGGAGCTCGCCTCCTTCCACTCTGCCTCCAAGGGCTACATGGGCGAGTGAGTGCGGGCCGGGCAGAGGGGGGCTCTCGGACTCTGGCTGCCACGGCCTGGCCTGCCTTGTCCGCTGGGCCGGCCCCCTCTTCCCGGCTGGGCCTGGACGCCCACTTTCGCTTCGCAGGTGCGGGTTCCGCGGTGGCTACGTGGAGGTGGTGAACATGGACGCCGCGGTGCAGCAGCAGATGGTGAAGCTGATGAGCGTGCGGCTGTGCCCGCCAGTGCCGGGCCAGGCCCTGCTCGACTTGGTGGTCAGCCCACCCGCACCCTCCGACCCCTCCTTTGCGCAGTTCCAAGCGGTGAGCGAGGGCGGGCGGAGCGGGTCCGGGCCACAAGGTTGGGGGCGGGGACTGAGGCGCCGCGCCCCCGCGCCCCCTGGCCAGCCCTGATTGGCCTGCCCTTCACGGCTGCAGGAAAAGCAGGCTGTGCTCGCGGAGCTGGCGGCCAAGGCCAAGCTCACCGAGCAGGTCTTCAACGAGGCTCCCGGCATCCGCTGCAACCCGGTGCAAGGTGCCATGTACTCCTTCCCGCGCATGCAGCTGCCCCCGCGCGCCGTGCAGCGCGCTCAGGTCAGGCGGGGCCGGCGGGAGCTGGGCCGCGAAGGGGGCGGGGGCCGGGTTGTCCCGCCCTGACCCGCCTGCCGTGCTCCCAGGAGCTGGGCCTGGCCCCTGACATGTTCTTCTGCCTGCGGCTCTTGGAGGAAACCGGCATCTGCGTAGTGCCTGGGAGCGGCTTCGGACAGCGGGAAGGCACCTACCACTTCCGGTGAGGCTGGGTCCTCACCGCCCCTCCCTGAAACCCTCCCCTTCTGCTTACGGTCCACTCCTTTCAGGATGACCATTCTGCCCCCCATGGAGAAGCTGCGGCCGCTGCTGGAGAAGCTGAGCGGGTTCCACGCCAAGTTCACCCGCGAGTACTCCTGAGTACCCTAGCTGGGCCGCCCCTGGACTGACTGCTCAGGGCCCTGGGGGGTTCTGGAACCCTCTGGACTTGCCTTTGCTGCCTACGGGGCTGGGCCCCTGCGTCTCTGCAGGTCCCTAATAAAGCTGTGATGGTCTGACTCTTTGGAGGCAGCTGCATGAATGGTCCCTACCTTTGTCCACCCTGACTGCGTTCGTGCAGGTCTGGGGACCCAGCCCTGAGGGGACATTTATCCTAACTTCAGGAGGAATGGTTGAGGAGGCAGAGGAGATGCCTTTCCGGCCTGGTTTACTTGTTCCTCCTTCAGACACCTCACCTACTGTGGGCTGGGTCTCCACTGTGGCCTCTGATCTTCTGGCAGAGATGAAGAAACTCACTTAGAAATTAGATAGTGGTAAGAATGTAGAGTGTGGGCTGGGCTCAGTGGCTCACGCCTCTAATCCTAACACTCTGGTAGGCTGAGGCAGGAGAATTGCTTGAGCTCAGGAGTTTGAGACCAGCCTGAGCAAGAGACCCCCTCTCTACTAAAAACAGAAAAAAACAGTTGGGCCCCTGGTAGCACCGGTAGTCCCAGCTACTCCAGAGGCTGAGGCAGGAGGATCGCTTGAGCCCAGGAGTTTGAGGTTGCTGTGAGCTAGGCTGGTGCCATGGCACTCTAGCCTGGGCAAGGGAGCAAGACTGCCTAACAAAAAAATAAATAAATCAAAGAAGAAGAGTGTAGAGTGTGAAGAAAGGCACAGGGTCTCCTGCACCTCCTTGCAGGGAGACCCCAGGGCTGTTTGTTAGAAGTGGGGATGGGGCTTGACAAAGAAACAGGATGACTCCAGACACTGAGTCAAGAGGATCGCTTGAGCCCAGGAGATCGAGGATGCAGTGAGCTGTCATTGCACCACTGCACTCAGGCTGGGTGACGGAGAACCACAGCAGGGTATCCCAGGGTGGCCACATGAGAAAAAGTAGCCTTTCTTGAGGAAGGTGCAGAAAGCTGTGTTCCTCGTCCTGGCTCACTTTCCTGTGTTGTCTACCTCTTCCCTGGTGGCACAGGGGATATATTAATAGTAAACCATAGGATGGAGTTGGCTGGACAGGGTGACAACGGAAGGCTCAAGGAGGAGGTCTTGATTTTCCAAGGGAGGGCCAGGGCTGGAGGAGGTAGGGGTGGAGTGGGGAGCCCTGTGTCCTTTCCCCTGGGAACATGAGGATGAGTGCCTGCTGTGTGGGGACACTGCTGTGGGTTACTTACTTAATCTGCACAAATGGCCCTCTAAGATAGGCATGGCAGTTCACATTTTATAGACAAGAAAACTTGAACCCCAAGAATATGTTGAAGTGACAGGAAACCCACTGAAAGTGGCTTCTTCAGCCAAAGAAATGTGTTGGCTCAAGTGCCTTTGAGTTGGCTCTCGAGGGTTGGGCTGGCTTTAGGGACTCAGACTTGAAGACAGGACTGGCCAAGGCACCCAGTTTTGTCCACTCTGGAGATGGTTCTTAACCAGAGGTCACACTTAGCCTCATCTGGGCCTTGGGAGCCCCAGAGGGCACAGCTCTGGGCAGGAGAGACCACATGTGAGCCCTTTCCTTGGCAGTAACAGCTCTAGTTAGGCAGAGGTCTCCTAGCCTTGTCACCCGACACTGGAGGGCAGTGGCTGGCTGTGTCCTTCTGGCCAAGCCTGGGCCCTGACCTTTCACACAAACTCCCTCCCTTCCATGGCTCTCCTTCTGTGGCCCCTGCCTTGGGGAGGCGGCTGAAGCCACAGCACAGCAGCGGGGTGGTCCAGTGTCCTAAGTATCCAGTAGTAGACAGGGGAACAGTTAAGAGATTAAATCCTCCATGGGGGCTGCTGGAGAAACGAGGGCTGGGCACTGCAGCAACCAGGCTGTAAGCCAGACACCAGGAAGCACTTCTGGAGCGGATCTGAGAACCCTGGGAGGGACCAGGGCTGGTGACAAGTGGGAGGAGTAGATGGGGCACAGGCCGATTCCTACTTTGATTCCTACGTTGACGCTGGCCCCAGCTCTGGAGCTTCGCTCTCTGAGCCTCTCCCATCCGTGAAGGACCTGGGCGGGTGCGTGTATTGGGGGCGGGTGCGTGTATTGGTGGCGGGTGCTGACCACCGGGGACACCCGGGAGCCGATACTCTGGTCCTCTCGGGGTCTCCGTGGCCCACGCGACCTTCTAGCCCTGGAGCGGGTGGCCACGGGGCTCCGGCGACGCCATATACACGCAGCGTCCAGTCCGCGCTCCGCTCGGTGGTTCCGGAGGACCGAGAGGCTAGACAGGAAGGCCTCGCCCCTCCGGCAGATCCAGCCCCGCCCCCAGCTCATTACTCGCAGCCGCGCAGAGCTTGCTGGGGGTTGCGGGCAGTCTGTGTGCAGCGCACCCGCCGCTCCGGGGACAGGCCGCTCGCTCCCCAGTTTGGACCCGGCTTCTGCTCTTCTGGGGTGTCGCCCCCCCACAAGGTGTCCAACTCTGACCCCACCTCGGTCCTGTCCCAAAGCCATGGCGGGGCGTGACCTGTGACCCCATGCTGTTGGGACCTTACCTCGTCAGACGTCACCCGCGGCGATCTCCCGGCCTTGAAGCCAACCCTGGACGACGGAGACCTGGCCCTGCACCCCGCCCGAGCGCCGGCATGCGCGGGAAGCTGCTGCCGCTGGCCAGCCTGTACTTGGTGCAGGGCTTGCCCTATGGGCTCCAGTCTGGCCTGCTGCCCACGCTGCTGCGGGCTCGCGGGCTCTCGCTGACGCGGGTGGGACTGGCCAAGGTGCTGTACGCCCCGTGGCTGTTCAAGCTCGTGTGGGCCCCGCTGGTGGACGCGCGGGGCTCCGCGAGGGCCTGGCTGACGCGCAGCACGGTGGCCCTGGGCTTGGTGTGTGGGCTGCTGGCCGCGCTGCCTCCTGCTGAAGCGGGCCAGGCCGGGCTGCCTGTCGCGGCCGCGCTGCTGCTGTTGCTGAACCTGGGTGCGGCTGTGCAGGATGTGGCCCTGGACACGCTGGCCGTGCAGCTGCTGGAGCCTGCCGAGCTGGGGCCTGGCAACACCGTGCAGGTGGTGGCGTACAAGTTGGGGGCAGCGCTGGCAGGGGGCGGGCTGCTGGCCCTCTTGCCCACCCTCTCTTGGCCAAGGCTCTTTCTGCTCCTGGCTACCACCTACTGGCTGGCCGCAGCCCTGGCCTGGACTGCACCTGCCCTGCGCCAGCCTCCAAGGCCTCGGCACTCAGAGCATCCCCACTACACTCTGCATCTTCTGCAGGATGTGCTCGCCGTGCCGGGGACCCCATGGACGGCAGGCTTTGTGCTCACCTACAAGCTGGGTGAGTCAGGCAGCAGCAGGGGTGGGGCCCCAGGAGCTTGAAACCCATTATGGGGCCATTCCCTTTTTGGGATATGATATGCAGGCTAGAATCTAGCCTGGCCCCAACATCCACGAATCTGCAGCTGGGCTTTGGCTCTGTCCTTCCCCAGTTCTAGCTCTGTGGCCTGGGGTCTCTCTGGGGTTGCTTCATGCTGACCTTGGGCTTGGCCAGCACCCATTTGTCCCCCAGCACTTGTGGTCCGGGAAGACAGAGGCAGGAAAGGGGCCTAGCTGGACAGAGCAGGACTGAGGCTCCAGGTGGGGAGAAGGGAGGTAGGGCAGACAGGGGACCTCCCTGCCCACAATCTCGCCCTAGGTGAGCAGGGTGCCAGCAGCCTGTTTCCTCTTGTCCTGCTGGACCATGGCGCTTCTGCCCGGGAGCTGGGGCTGTGGAATGGCGTGGGTGCTGTGGCCTGCTCCATCGCTGGCTCCTCCCTGGCTGGAGCCCTGCTGGCCAGGCGCTGGTGCGTGCTCCCCAGCCCGCCCTGCCTACTCATTTGTCCCCCAACCTGCCCTGAATTCCCTGAACTGCCCAATCTCCCCACCCCCACCCCAGGCAGCTGTTACCCTTGTTGCGATCAGTGCTGCGGCTCCGCCTCGGAGGCCTGGTCTGCCAGACTGCCCTGCTCTTCCACCTGGACACCCCAGGGGCCAGTCTGGGCCCTAGCACGGTCTTGAGAGGTGAGGGGCTAGCCTTGGGGGGTGGGGACAAGTGCCCTGGGCACTATTGCTGACCTTTATTCTCTCAGGAGCAGCCTTGCTGAGCCTGTGCCTGCAGCACTTCCTGGGGGGCCTGGTCACCACGGCCACTTTCACTGTGATGATGCGCTGCAGCCAGCTGGCACCCAGTGCCCTGCAGGTGAGAGCCATGACCAGGACGTGGAGGGATTGCGGGGCTGGGGTGCTGCATGGGCCCTGACTCCCACCTGGTCCCCATTCCCAGGCCACGCACTACAGCCTCCTGGCCACGCTGGAGCTACTGGGAAAGCTGCTGCTGGGTGCCCTGGCTGGAGCCCTGGCTGACAGCCTAGGGCTGCGTCCCTGCTTCTCCCTCCTCCTTGCTCTCTCAGCTCTGCCCCTCCTGTGCCTGAGCCTGGCACCCAGCAGCCTGGCCTGAGCTGGGTAGTCAGGCTGGTCAATAAAGCTGAGTGTGCTTGTGGCCTGGTGTCTGTGTCTAGGATGTGTGACAAGCAGTTGTCCCCACACTGCCGGAACTGCCTCACAGAAAGGAGGGGCCATAGGAACAACTTGAGCACTTTTTATTCTGCATTTTGGAGTCTCCTTGTCCCCACACCCCTACTGGCAGGTTTTGCCCAGGGCGGCCAGTCACTGTCCTGGCCACTGACAACCCCCTTTGCTGGATGAGCTGTCACACCTTCCACTCCCTACATTGTGGGCACACAGCCCCCAACCCCGTGCCCCCTGTTGGGGGCCAGCACCCTCTGTGCTGGTGCCAGGTGGTCAGCGGCCCACCAGCAGGAGCTCCTCTGTGGCCAGGCACATCAGGGCATGGAAGCTCAGGTGCAGGTACTTTCTCCAGAAACGACGGTCCCGCCCATACACCTGGGCTGGGTAGCAGGGGCTTCCTACAGTGGAGCAAACCCACCGGCCATGAGAACTCTCCCCGGTTCTGCCCTGGCTCCTGCCTGCGTCAGGCTGAGCCACCTGGGCCCTCACCAATGCCGTGGAAGATGCGGGCCACAGCCCTGCCTGAGAACTTCTCCTCTGGCCACAGGGACAGAAGCTGGCGGATGTCGCGGCGGATCTGGTCCTCCCAGTCCTGGAGCTGTGGGTAGATGGCGTGTTGGGTCTCTCTGTGCCCCTGAGTTCACACAAGCCAGCCCTGGGCGGCCCAGGAGACCTGGAACCAGCTGGGGAGGAGCCCAGCTCTGTTGAGTCAGGTGTGTGTGTCCCAGCCCGAAGGAACAGCCCCCAGAAGGGGCTGGCACTCACCATAGCTTGCCCCAGCTCTGGGCCCTGCTCATCCCCCATGGCCTCCGGCCCCTGTGCCTCCTCTGCCTCTTCTTCAAAGTAGCGGCCAAGCAGGTCCTTGAGCTTGGTGCTCTGCTCCTCACTGGGCTGCTCCAGGCAGGGCCCGCAGCTGGGGAAGGCCATGCTGGGGGTGGGACAAGCCTGTCAGTGCCTCCTGTGAGGGGAGGGTGAGTGGCCCCAGGCCCTGCCCACCTCCTCCCCACCTGTGAAAGGCCTGGAAGTTTCGGTGTAGACGGGTCAAGGCCTCACTCTCCCGGGCCTGCACACGGCCATACAGGAAGTCACAGATCTGGTCCCTCTCCTCGGCTGTTAGGTCTCCAGGGCTGCGAAGGTGGAAGGCCAGCTCCTGGAACTCCACAAGCACCCCCGTGCCCCGTGGCACACCTGCCAGAGAGCACGTCAGACACAGGCGGGCAGGCAAGCAGGGTCCGGGGTGGGGTGGGGAGGGGCACACCTGTCCTGGGCTCTTGGTCCCACTGCAGCTGGCGGAGAGCTCGCCGCACAGAGGCCAGCTCCCAGCCCATCGAGTCTGCCAGCTCTACCATGTCAAACTCCAAGGACCTGCTATCCCACCTTGTGTCCTCAGGTGGCTGCCGAGCCAAGCACACAGCCAAAGGGGGACACCTGTGCCCAGGGGGAGGAAACATGTCACCAGCAGCCCTGGCCCTCTGTCCTCATCCCCAACCTAGGGCGGTACATGCTCACCTGTGGGCCAGAACCTGGAGCTCGGTGGGCCCCCCAGGGCAGCGCAGACGGCAATGGGCATAGGTGGTAGGCAGTAGCTCTAGCCAGCGCCGCGGGTGCAGCTCCAGGTAGCACAGCAGCGTCTCGATGGCTGGGGGCAGAGCAGGCCTCAGGGGATGCGGGGACAGCCCCTCCATGCCCCACCCCCTTCCCCAGGTCCCTCACCCTCCTCCGGCAGGTCCAGGGCCTGCACTGTTGGCTGCACTGGGAGTGCCAGCTCATGGCCTGGGCAGGCCCTCCTGGGCTCTGGGGCTGCTTGGGGGCTGCTGTGATACTCGGCCTTTTGAACGGGGCACTTGGCCACAGGCCTCTCCCTGCCCACACCTCTTTGCTCCTCTGGGGGTGGCTGGGCGCAGGTGCAGGGTGGGAATACACGCTGCACCAGCTTCTTCACAGCAAGGAAGTCGGTGCTGTTGGCATGCACATGTCTGCGCAGCTCCCACAGGTCCTCGCCCTGCAGCAGGACAAGAGTCAGGATAGGCCAAAGCATTGAGGGCTTAGGCACTGAGGCAGGGGGTGCCAACCTGGGGCCGCAGGAAGAGGTGGCAGTGGGCAGGCTGCCCATCACGCCCGGCCCGGCCTACAGCCTGCACGTAGCTCTCGAAGCTCGGGGGCAGCCCCAGGTGCAGCACAGCGCGCACATCCGGCCGGTGCAGTCCCATACCGAAGGCTACCGTGGCCACCACCACCCGCAACTGGCCCTGCATGAAGGCCCGCTGCACCCGCTGCCGCTGCCGGCTGCACATGCCAGCGTGGTAGGCCTCAGCCACAGCTTCGGGGGCACGATCTTTGGGGAAGACAGATATGGTCAGTGGGCTGGAGCACGCAGTGGGTCCATGGAGGCTCCAGCCCCACCGAGGCCTCACCTCCAGGGCCCGGACCCCGGACTGCACACAGACAGGTCCGGAGAAGTGCAGCGACCCGCTCTGTGTCCTCACGACGGTTGCAGTAAACAATGATGGAATCCAGGGCACGAAAACGATCCCCCTGCAGCAGCGTCACCAGAGCCTGATGAGAAGCAGAGATCAGTACGGGCAGTTGGGAGCCGGGGCCTCTGCCACATGGAAAATACACACCCACCTGGTCTGGGTCCCTGTCCATGGACACAGAGAGGTGCAGGTTAGCAGGAACAGGGGCTGGCCCACAGAGACCCAGCTCTTCTACTATACCCAGGTGCTGGGCCACGTCACGGGCAGTGCTGCGTGTGGCCGTGGCTGTGAGACCCAGGAAGCACCGCACACCCATGCGCTCACGAAGCATCTGCGCCAGAGGGGAGGGGGTGGGTAGTGAGGCCACCCAGCCCACTTGGGCCCTGGCCCACCGGCCCTGACCCACAAGTGGCTCACCTTGCAGATGCGCAGGTAACAGGGCCGGAAGTTGTGGGACCACTGAGAGAGGCAGTGGGCCTCGTCGAAACAGGCAAAGGCCACCGGAGGGAGTTGGGTGAGGATGGCAGGGCCCCCTGCCCCCACCAGTGCCTCAGGTGATAGCATCAGCACATGTAGCTGGGCTGCCCGTACCTGAAGGCAGCAGGGTCAGGTGCATGGCCCATGTGCCTGCCCACTGCCGCTCCTCCCCAGGCCCACAAGGCCCCCTACCTTCTGCAGGACAGACTCCTGCTGCTTCTTGGTCATTCCTGAGTGGATGCAGGCTGCCTTGAGGCATGGGGGCAGGCCTGACACCTGCAGATACAAGAGAAATGGCCATCACAGGCCAAGTGAGCCCTGGCCCTTCCCCAAATCCTCCCAAAGTTGCTCAACCCAATAGGTGCTGCTGTGTCCACTCCAAGCCCTTTGGGGAGAGAAGAACCAGGCCCTAGGTCCTCAGACTAAGGATTTAGAGCCACTTGTGGGCCTTGGCCTGGGGGCTCTAGAGGGCATGGCTCCCCTGAGGTGGCCCTATTGAGCTGAGCTTCCCTCAGGAGGATGCTAGGGCTGGGCACCTTGCAGCCTCCTGGGGACAGGGAGGATTTGGAAACAAGCAGCAGCAGCACAAGGGAATCACAAGCACCAATTCTTGACCACCCACATGTGCCAAGGACTCTGTCTGCACACCTGGTCATCCATGAGTGAAAGGAGTGGAGAGATAACCAGTGTGAGGCAGGGGCTGCGCTGGGAGTAGAGCAGTGCCGGGAGCTGGTAGCACAGGGACTTGCCGGCGCCTGTTGGCAGCACCAGCAGTGTGGAAATGCCTGAGTAGGATGGGAGTCAGCAGTGAGGCTCTGTGTCCTGGCCTCATCCCCACCTCATCCTCTGGCAGCCATGCTCACCAGACAGGATTCGCATGACTGTGTGCTCCTGCCCGGGGCGGAAGGCTCGGTGTCCTAGTTGCTCCAGGCCCTGGAAGACCTCAGTTGGTGTCTCTGCAGATACAGGTGTTGATAACCAGGAGTTGAGCCAACCGGAGTCACACCAGTCCCTCAGCACAGGCTCTGAGCCAGTAGGGGTCTGCTTACCTGCCACCTGCCCTAAGGGCCCTAATGGGTAGAGAGGCAGCATGGCAGGGGCCAGGTGGGGCACCTTGAGCTCAGGCCCAGCAGGCCCTGTGTCTTCCTCACCTACTGAGGGCAGACAGGAGAAAGGTGGTGTGAGAGCTCCAGGAAGGGCTGAGATCATTCTAGCAAGACAGTCACTGGCCATGGTCGCCCCCCGGCCCCACCAGGGAGTGAGCAGAAGGCAGTGTCTGTTCTCTCTGCTACTTCCACGGTGGGAAAGGGCTGAGTCATCCTCATCCTCACCACCCTCCTTCTGAGGGGCCAGGACTGTCCCCCCAGAAGGCAGTGTCCTCTCCACAAGGTGTTGGTGTGACCCACTCCCCAGGGTAGCTGTCTCACCTGGCTGGGGACACTGTGGTGCCCAGTGACCAAGCTGCCCACACGACAGACAAGCCTCGAGTGTGGCTCTGGGCCCACCACCCCCAAAACACTTTCCTTTTTTTTGCCACTTCTGCTTCCATGCCTGGGGAGGCACAAAGGAGAGTCACACAGGCAAGAAACAGAGGAAGGGTGAGGGGACTGCCCATCCCATCCTGTCGCTGTCTCACCTGCTTGCGGAGGAGCCTGCCTCGAAGGGTCCTGCCCCGTGTGTAGCGTTTCTGCTTCATGTTGAGGCGTATGTAATTACCCCTGTCCCGGACGGCTGTCCTAGGGAAGATGTGCAGGTAGGACATGCCCTCAGCCTTCCCCGCCCTGGCATGACTCAAGGGGTTGAAGCTGTGGTACCTGGGGATTGAAGGGCTACTGCAGGGCTGAGGTCGCTGTGCATGTACAGATTCCCTAGCAGGGTCTTCCTCAAGTGCTATGGCTCCAGCACCTTGAGATGGGGGTCCTGCTTGGCCACTGTCCCACTGGACCTGTGTAGGACTTGCCCAGGGCTCCTCACTCCATCTTGGCTTCTTGCCTTGATTGTTGCTGGGTGGGGGGCTCCCTGTACCAGCTTGGGCTGCCTGTAGGGCTGGAGGCTCTGGGCCCTGTGAAAGTGCCTCAAAGCCAGTGCCAGGACCAAGGACAGCCAACTTACCTAAGGTCACAGTTTGTGATTCCTCTGAGTCCAGGCCAGGCCTGCAGGCCGTGGGGGCCTCCAGAAAATGTGAGGCCCCATTGTGACACCGCTGTAGCCACCCTGGGTCTAGGGAGCCCAGCCGCAGGCTCAGGGACGCCCGTAGCTGCTGGAGCCGGCCTGGCCTTGGCTGGGGCTCAGGAGGCTTGGGGGGCACATCACTGACTTCATTTGGAGGGACAGAGTCAGCCCCTGTGCCTGAGGGCTTTGGGGTGGTTATCTTGGATGAGGGTCTTCGTCGGGGGCAGGATATGCAGACCAGGGCTGGCCCAGCCTGGGAGGGTGAGAAGAAAACAGCAGGAAGGAACTCAGGGCCCTGGGCTGCTGCAGACTGAAACTTGCTTGACTCTCTACGCTCAATGGTAGGGCAGCGTAACAAAACACTGGGACAGAAAGGAAGCTGAAAGCAGAGGCTAGCCCTGAAAACCTCTCAAAAGAGTTGTGCCCTAGGAGCCTATACTTATCTCTATATGTGGGAAGGCTTGGTAAGAAGGGGAGGCTGGTGAACCAAGGGCAGCTCTGGGGCTAGCTTGGATGCACTGCCTGCCCACTCCTCACCCCTTACCTGCAGGGTGCCTTTCAGATTGGCCTTAAGCCTCTTCCCATAGTCCTGCACAGACCCTCGACAGCTCTGCTCTGGAGCAGGGTGTGGACTCTTAGTGGCAGCCCTATTCAGGTGGGGTCCCCAGCAGCTGTGCTCTGGGGCCTATGGGAGACAGTAGGGCCCAGACCAGAGAAAGGCTGGTGTGGGGGCAGAGGTGCCTCCAGCCGCCCCCCACCCCTAGACCTGGAGCAAAGCCTGGCCTTTTGCTCTGCCCAGCCCTTCTCCTAAGTTAGGTGCCCCACGTAGTGGGCCTGGCCCCGACTCCTCTTAGCTCCGTCACTCCGCCACACAGGACACCGGGGTGACGGGGCCCGGGTACCTCTTCGGCCGCCGCGGGGAGCGACTGCTCGGGGGTGCGGGGCCCGCCGCCGGCCTGGCCCAGGACTCGCTTCAGGGCGCTGTACTCCCGGTAGAGCGCTGCGTGGGCGGGCAGGAGTCGAGGTCAGGACCGGGCGTGGGTCCTCCGCCGGCCCCCACCGCCCCTACCGTCTCCTAGGCCGCCCCCAGCCGCCCCAGGCCGCACGCTCACCGCGGGTCTCCTCTGGTGCCGCCTCCACGTCGTCCTGTGAAGGGAACGTGTCAGCCATATCGCCACACCCTCAGTCCCCCGAGCCCCGGGCAGCCCGCACCTGGCCCGGCCGCCGCCCATGCTGCCGCCCGAACGCGCGCTCCCACTCCCGCAGCCGCGTCCGCACGTCCCGCAGCCGCTCCATGGCGCTCGCCCGGCCCGGCTCCCCGTGCCCAGTGAATCTCCCGCGGCGAGTACGTCGTTCGGCTGCCAGCCAATGGGGGCGCACGGCGGGGCCGGGGAACGGCAGCCAATCCTTGCGCCTTAGGGAGAACGGCCAATAGGAGGTGTTGCGTCATCGCGGCGCGCCGCGGCGCAGGGCGGAGCGCGGCGGACGGCAGAGGCGGGGCGGGCTGCAGAGGCGGGGCCGGCGGCGGTGGCGGCGGCGGCTGGGGGCCGGTGAGTGTGGGGCCCAGGCCGGGGTTAGAACCGGGCGGCGGGAGCCCCGGCCTGCCTGGCCGCAAGGGGAGGGGCGCCGGGCGGTCGGGGCGGCCGGGCCGGGGGAGGCGAGGGCTGGCGCTTGGGAGCTCTGGGTTGGGGCCGGGAGCCCGGGCGGTGCCGCTGTGGGCGGGGAAGGAGCCAGGAGCCTTCCGCCCTGGCGGAGTGGCCTCGGGACCCTGGCGGGCGACGCAGCCAGACTAGAGAGGCAGGCCCCGCGCAGGAGGCGAAGGGGCGTCGGGTTGAACTTGGACCGGAGGAGGTGGGCGGGGGCCTCTTCGCGAAAAGCAGGCACCCGGGGATCAAGCCGTTCCTCTGCTGCTGGCGGGAGGGGTAGCGCCTACCTAGGTGGCCAGGCCTGCTGCTTTCGTTTCCTTTCGTGACAGTTGCTTGGTTGGTGTGTCTTGTCAGAGCGAATTATGAATCGTCCCGGCGAGATTTGTTTACAGGCATAGTGAGGTCTAGGGTTGGTGTCTGGGGTTTTTCAGACGCCCGTGCCGTAAGGACTTATTTGTGCGTGAAGAAGTCAGCAAGAGCAGGGTCCCTGGGGCCAGACTGCCCTCCCCACCGTCTTCCCCAGGCTCGTCCCTGGGGCTGTGACCTTGGGTGAAACCTAGGCCTTAGTTTCCTAATTTGCCACGGGAGGATGGCTATGATATAGTTTTGAGGATGAGGTGCCTGGCACACAGTAATTCTGCCAACATGCTGCTGCTAAAAGCAGCAGAGCTGACACTCTGTGTCACAGGTACCCTGTGGCTTCAGGAGTCTTGTGTGCATCTTAGTTTAGATGCCATCTTGGCAGCTGTTTTTGCCTCATCTGAACAATCCCTAGTCTGGCATCTTCTGCATCACACGGATTTAAGACTCGTTCTCTCCACATTGGTTCCCCAGGGAAGAGGGAGAGGTTTAGACCAGTGGTAAGGACCACCAAAGGTGAGGGCTACTTTCTCTCAGGGGTCTCCATGCATGGTGACACCCTGGACAACAGTAGTTATTTCTGGGGCTCATGTTGAGGGCTTGGATTTCATAGGCCGTGCTGTCTGTATTCAGAGTTCCCTGGATCCTGGGTCTTTCTGCTTGCCCCAGTCAGTGTTCATTAAGTTTTGTCTGTTCTTCCAGCCTCTTCCTGCTATGCTTTGTGTAATCCAAGGGTAGCCCTTTGGAGCCTCTGTGAGGAGGGTAGGGAAGGAACTGTGATGTGGATGCTGGCTGCCTTGGTTATAGTCTACCTCCTCTAGTGCTGATAAAAGTTGGTAGGGAGGGGCCTGGGCTTTAGTCTACGTTTTTTTTTTTTTCTCTTTTTTGGATTGCTTGTTTTATTTATTCTACTTTTGAAGAAGGGTTTCTAAAGTGGTTTTATAATTTGGCCTGAAGTACCCATGGGGGGCCCTGCAGGGCAACAGTCATCTGTCAAAAGCACACACAAGTGAATAGCTTATCAATGGTGCCACACCGTTTATGTACTGCTTGAGGCTTTGTTTCCCTAAAGAGGCCTTTCTGGAGGGCCAGGACTAGGGTGTGGCCTTGGCCCCCAGTCCACTCTGCCCAGCCTGGTGCTAGCCACCTAAGAGGTGCTCCTCTGTGCCTCTGTCCTCTACTAACCACCAACTCTGTGCCAGGCACTGTGTTTGGGCTTTCCTACCACCAGTGTGAGGGGAGGGGTGTGGCCCGGTAGTGGCCTGGGGTCTCTCCATGCTGAAGGTCACTCTCCTGCAGGTTGCCATCTGCCTGGCCCAGCGCCATGCACACGCTTGTGTTCTTGAGCACTCGGCAGGTGCTCCAGTGCCAGCCAGCTGCCTGCCAGGCCTTGCCCCTGCTGCCTCGCGAGCTTTTCCCCCTGCTGTTCAAGGTGGCCTTCATGGACAAGAAGACAGTCGTACTGCGTGAGCTGGTGCACACGTGGCCCTTCCCGCTGCTCAGCTTTCAGCAGCTACTGCAGGAGTGTGCCCACTGCAGCCGGGCCCTCCTGCAGGAGCGGCCCAGCACAGAGAGCATGCAGGCAGTGATCCTGGGGCTGACTGCCCGGCTCCATGCCCCAGAGGCCGGGGCCAGCACGCAACCCCTCTGCAGGTATGGACTCACCCGAGGGGCCCTCAGGCCTGTGGGGGTGCAAAGAGGGTCCCCTGAGGAAGTTCCAGGCTGGGTCCTGCAGTTAGCAGGAACTTAGTGCTGGAGCAGGCATGTTGCTCCTGTCCCAAGATAGGTGGGAGGAGGTGTGGGCCCTGCCCTCCAGTCCCCCACCTCAGGCCATCCTTGCTCCCAGGAAGCACACGCTGCGGGTGTTGGACATGACAGGCCTCCTGGATGATGGTGTGGAGCAGGACCCTGGCACCATGAGCATGTGGGACTGCACAGCGGCTGTGGCCCGCACATGCATCGCCCAGCAGCAGGGCCAGGCTGCAGAGCCAGGGCTAGCCACTGTTCCTGTGGAAGTGCGTGTGGATCTGCGGGTGAACCGGGCCTCCTATGCATTCCTTCGGGAGGCACTCCGAAGCAGTGTGGGCAGCCCCCTGCGGCTCTGCTGTCGGGACCTGCGAGCTGAGGATCTGCCCATGCGCAACACCGTGGCTCTGCTGCAGCTTCTGGATGCAGGCTGCCTGCGTCGTGTGGACCTACGCTTCAATAACCTGGGCCTGCGTGGCCTGTCTGTTATCATCCCACATGTGGCTCGCTTCCAGCACCTGGCTAGCCTGAGGCTGCACTATGTACATGGGGACTCAAGGCAACCCTCCGTGGATGGCGAGGACAACTTCCGCTATTTCCTGGCCCAAATGGGTCGCTTCACCTGTCTGCGGGAGCTCAGCATGGGCTCCTCTCTCCTTTCAGGGAGGCTGGACCAGCTGCTCAGGTGAGCTGGCCCCACCACTGCCCTACCTTTTCCTTCTGTGGGGACCCTCCCCTGGCCCTGCCTATCTGTGACCTCTCTGTAACCCCTGTGTCCCCTGCAGCACTCTGCAGAGCCCCCTGGAGAGCCTGGAGCTGGCCTTCTGTGCTCTGCTGCCTGAGGACCTGCGCTTTCTGGCACGGAGCTCCCATGCTGTCCACCTCAAGAAGTTGGACCTGAGTGGCAATGACCTGTCTGGCAACCAGCTTGTGCCCTTCCAGGGTCTGTTGCAGGCGGCAGCAGCCACACTGCTGCACCTTGAACTGACTGAGTGCCAGCTTGCTGATACCCAGCTGTTGGCCACACTACCCATCCTGACTCGCTGTGCCAGTCTCCGCTACCTCGGCCTCTATGGCAACCCACTGTCCATGGCAGGCCTCAAGGAACTGCTACGGGACTCTGCGGCTCAGGCTGAGCTGCGTACTGTTGTACACCCCTTCCCTGTGGACTGTTATGAGGGCCTGCCCTGGCCACCACCTGCCTCTGTGCTGCTGGAGGCCTCCATCAATGAGGAGAAATTTGCCCGTGTGGAAGCCGAGTTGCACCAGCTCCTGCTGGCCTCAGGCCGTGCACATGTGCTCTGGACCACGGACATCTACGGGCGGCTGGCTGCAGACTACTTCAGCCTATGATTGCTAGGACTTGGATGAAACACAGGCTATCCTGGGGTCTCCTGTGTAGGCAAGGCTTTTGTTGGGACCTTGCTGGAAGCCTGACAAAAAGCACCGGTTTTCTGGTTTCCTGCAGTGCCTGCCTTGCTCCTGGGTATACTTTGAGTCTCCCCTGCTTTTTGCAGTGCCCTGTGCCATTTGCATTGCACCTGCTCCCTAACTAGCTGACTGGGCCCCAGGGCTGGATTTCAGGCCTGCACTGCCCTGCTCAGTTTGGCTGCCCTAGGGTGTTGGTCCTGTCTGCACGCCAGATGTGAGCTGAGAGAGATGGTCTCTTTGGTTCCTTCCCATCCACTTACTAAGAGCCTAGTGTTCTGGCTCAGGGGCCTGCTTGAGGGAGGCTTAGGTCCCCATGCACTCTGGGGCCACTTGTGGTGTTCTCTGCCCTGGCACCCAGCCACCCGTTGTGCTGGGCTTTGGGGCTGGAGGGTATCATCAAGGTACTAACGTGCAGTGTATCTGGAACTTGAATTTGTGGCTGTTTTTTCGGTTTTAATTGATCCATGACTTGTCTCCATCTCTGCTATCACCTCCACCCTGGCCACTGGGCAACAACTGTGATCCAGCCTGTTGTCCCCACCCTCTTCGCTGGGCAGCCCCACCGGGGTCACTAGCCAGTCCTTGCTCCTCAGTATGGGCCACCTTAGGGAGGCCTGAAATCCTACAGCCGGCTGGCCAGGGCCAGCAAGGGGCCCTGCAGAGCTGGAGGTTGGGGCATCTCTGGGGCGTCCTAACCCCAGAGGGCCTCGTGGGGGTGTTGGGGCCTCCCTGGCCACCGTCCACCAGTGCCCCAGGAGCCCGCGTGCAGGACTCCTGGTGTGGGTCCACCCCGGCACCCCATCCCCGTTCCCGGCGCCGCACACACGGTTCAGCGCACAGTGGCGGCTTCCACTTTTACTGACGGAGTATGCGCGAGCCGTGCCGGCCAATCCCCGGCGCCCGCGTCATCGGCGCGCGCCCGGCTTCAGCCGCGGATCTCGTAGGCGACAGGCGGCGGGACGCGGAGCCCGGGCGCCGCCCCCTCTCCTGGACCGCGATCCACGGGTGCCTCCGCCGGCCCCTCAGCGAAGAGCGGCTTGGAGCGGTCGATGACAAACATCTCGTGGCCGCGCTCGTCGCGGAGCTCCTCGAGCTGCGCGAAGGTGCAGGGCCCGTCCGAGTAGTCGTTGACGAACAGCGCGCCCTCAGCCGGAGGTCCCCGCGCCTTTTTCCGCCTGCGGCGCCGGCGGCAGATCATGGCGGCCAGTAGCAGCGCCGTGAGCGCCAGCAGTGCGATGGCCGCCGCGACGGCCGTCTGCGTGGCCAAGCCCAGGGCGCGGAAGGCCATGCTACCCGCCTCGTTCCTAGGCTCGCGGGCGGCGGGGGCCGGCGGGGGCGCCGGCTGCTGCGGCTGCTGCCGGGACGCATTGACCAAAAGTCGGAAGGGCACGCGGGCGGCGCCCCCGGCGTTGGAAGCCTCGCACTCGTACTTGCCAGCGTGCGCCAGCGTGATGTTGGTGAGGAAGAGCATGCCGCTGCCCATGTCGGAGGCTGCGTGCCCGCCCATGCCAGGTGCAGCGCCTTTTAGCCGGGCCTGGTCCTGTGGCCAGCCCTCCCGAGGCTGGGACACCTTTCTCCAGGTCACCAGGGGCTGCGGGTAACCGGAGGCCTGACAGGCAACCCTCAGGTCCTCACCCAGGTTCGCTGTGAGCTCCAGCGGCTGCACGTGTACAGAAGGCGGAATGCAGATGAGGCTACTGCGGGCTATGTCCAGGAGACTCTGAAGTGCCAGGCGGGGGGGCTCTGCACACATGATCTTCTTGTCCCTGGAGCTGAGCAGCCTCTGGCCACCCTGCTTGATCCATGTGCCCAGCCAGTGCAGGGCGCAGTCACAGCGCCATGGGTTCTCTGTGGGAGAGTGGGAGGCAACAAGGGGCTTGGGGTTGGCCCCATAACAGCCTGTGCCATTGAGGTTCTGCTGGCCAGGGCATGAGCCCCTTGCCCACCTCCCACAGCCTCTTCACACGAGTCTACGATCCCTGCCACCCCATATCTGACTCCAAGCTCTTTGGGGTGGAGGCAGGCCCTTCATACCTGATGATCTCACAGGTCACTTCTCCACTGGTCTTTGAAAAAGCACCTGCTCTTCTGAAGTCTCCCCAAACAAGTTCCACTGTTTGGGACACCTCTGTGTCCACATAGACACCTCACCAGCACTAAAGCCATGGAAACGTAAGCCTTGTCTGCAGATGCCCTCTCCTGGAAATGCCCCCAATCCTGGTCAGCTGTCTATTCTTTCTGGGTTTTGTCTGCCTGCCCTCTGATGGCCCCAAATTGTGCAAAACTGTCAACTGCGTTAAGTCAACCTGTGGAACTCCTATCTTTTCTGTTTTCCTTAGAGTGCCTGAGCTGTACCCCACCAGCACCCCATTCCCGGCAGCCCTCTACCATGGCTGCAGGTAGTTGTGTGGCCCTCCAGCATGTTCCCAATTGCTGGCTGTTAGAGCCCCCTCCACACGTGGGCCTGCTTCCTACTGCCACCTGCGTGGCCAAGGCAGAGCCCCTTGCTGGAGGAAGAGGTACCTGTGAGGCGCAGGACTTGCAGGCTGGCCAGGGGCTGCAAGGCCTCTTGGCTGATGGTGCCCAGCTGGTTCCTGCTGAGGTCCAGCAGTGCCAGAGAGGACAGCCCGGCCAGAGCCTGGTCCTCCAGCAGCTCAATGTTGTTTTCTTGCAGGTGCAGCTCCTGCAGTCGCTGAAGTAGGGACAGCAGATAGTAAGGAAAAAGTGCACGGGGAGGGGCAGGTCCCCCTTACCAAGCAAGCCTGACTAGGTTGACTCTGCTCCCCCTAACTACTCCAGCCGGGCAAGGCTAGTGACGGCACAGGAGAACCCCGCCCTTTTTGTCCTCTGGTGCTCACCGGTAGGTGCAAGAACGTGAAATCCAGCAGCCGCGCCAGCTGGTTGCCTGCCAGGTAGAGTACGCGCAGCTGGGCCAGGCCCGCGAAGGCTCCGCCACGCAAGCCGCGCAGCCGGTTTCCGGTGAGCGCCAGCTCGAGCAGGCGCGGCTGCGCGCGGAAAGCGCCGGACTCCAGGGCGCGCAAGCTGTTGTTGTGCAGGTAGAGACGACGCAGAGCGGCAAGCGGAGCCAGGGCGCCAGGCTCCAGGCGGGAGATGTTGTTGTCCTGCAGGAACAGCGTCTGCGGGCCGGGGGATGTGGGGGCACTTATCCCGCCGCCTGGGTCGCCCTTTCCCATGGGGCCCTGCATTTACCCACCAGGACGCTCACACAGCCCTCCCGCAGCCCGGCGCCTCCACTCGGTGCCCACCTGCGTCCCGGGCGGGATTCCCGGCGGTACGACGTGCAGCCGCAAGGCGCCGCACTCCACCGTGGCGCTGTAGCAGCGACAGGCTGCCGGGCAGGTGGCGGCGCGGGGTGGAAACGAGAGCAGCAGCGGCGGCAGTAGCAGCAGCAGCAACGCGGGAGTCCCCGGGGCCATGTCCCAAGAGACCAGCCTCCCCAAGGTCCGGCCCGGATAGGATGTGCCTCCTGAAACACAGGTTGGCAGGCCAGTCTTAACATTCAAGTGCAGGAGCACGAACTGAGATCCACACCTTGTGTCTGACTTTTAAAAAGTTATGTCTGCTCAAGAAACTGGTCAATAAAAAGTTCTGGTTTCCTGCCTTGACAAAACACCTTCATAAAGACCTGGGCATCACAGGATTAGTGAGCTATGATTGCATCACTGCATTCCAGCTTGGGTGACTGAGACAGTCTTTTAAAAAAATCTGGGCATCACGTTCAAATTTAGAATTCCTGGTTTCTAGTCTCTTAACAGGGTGTAGACATGGGGAAAGTTGTCCCCTTCACTTATCCCTCCCCCCTCCCCCGCATGGCTACCACCATGATGGGCTCCCTGCCCATGCATGTGGACATATGGCTCTCACTGACCTGGCAATTGGCCACTCCTTGGTTCTATGGTACAAGAGGCTGCTGCATAGAATGGGCCTAGGAACTTTGCTTGGGTGGCAAAGTCCAGGATCCAGTTTCCTGAGCATGGGCTACAAGGGGAAGAGCAGGCTCTGGACAGACATGTTCCCTGTCCTTACTCTGTGGGAACTGGCATAAGACCTCCTGGGGACAGCACAAAGCAGAGGTCCTTTTTGTGCCCCCTGGACAAAGTCCAGGGCACCACTTGACCTTAGCCCAGGTCCTTAACCAAAAGTCCTTTTGTACCTAAGACCTCAAGCTTTGTCCCCTGCCCTGGGGCTCAGGTCATGACTTGATGGGGTCATGGGCAGAAGTGGTATCAGAGGAGCTGCTAACCACAAGGAAACTGAGGCACAGTTTTGTACAGCCCTTGCTCCTACCTGCCTGGACCAGCTCAGCTAGAATTGGGGCTTTTTCTCAGGTAACTTGCTGGAGAACTGGGGGATAGGGCAAAACAGTAAGTCCACTCAGAAGCCATGGACCTGTGGTCCCCGTGCTGGTTCCCAGAAAGGTGCTGTCCTTGGGGGTAGGTGGGGCCCTGGAAAAGCTGGGGTGTGAGAGAGGGGCCTTGGGCCATCAACTGGGTTACCAGTGTAGTTTCCCAAATGGGCTCTGGGAGCAATGATCTCTGAGACTGAAGGAGTTTGATGGGGGGATATATGCATGCAACTGTGGCCTCAAACTGATGGGAAGGCTGGAGTCTGGTTCTAGGCACAGTGAGCCCAATTTTAAAGGTGAGGACTTGGGCTGAGAAGCCAGCCCATCTGGAGCCAGGGAAGACGGGGCCAAGGGTCTACTGTCCCCCAGCCTCACCTAGCATGGTCTCCTCTGAACACCTGCCTGTTCACCAAGTCCCACTGCTCACTGTGAGTCATGTGGAAAGATACCAAGTGGCCCTGGTGTTTGTTCAAATCTTGCCCTAAATTGTAACCCACGTGATTATTTAAAGTCACTACAGATGAGGTAAGCACAGGAATAAAGTTTTAATGGAATAGCTTTGGCTCACGCAGGGGCAGATTTCTCAGGATGTGTGTGAACCCAGGAAGCTGAGGGCATTCTCCAGGCCCCTAGGATCCTTTTCTCTGAGCACAAAGGGCTGGCCCAGGGCTCCAGGCCTGGCCCAACCAGCCTCCAGCAGCAAGGCTTCTCAAGCAGAGAGGGTGCTTGGCCGCCTCCTCCTCAGAACTCAGGGCACTGCTGCTCACACGGACCGCCAGATGCAGATCAGTGTAGAGGGCCCGGGCAGGGATGAGGGTGCCAGGCCGGAGGAGCCCAGAAATCCTTTTATCAGAAGAAACCCCCTAATCCCGCTGGGCAGGGGGCGGGGTGTCCAGGATTCCGCGGGGGCTGTCACTGTCTCCTGGGCCCCGAAAGTGCAGGGGCGGTAGGACAGCCCTGTGTGCGCCCCTGACCCCCGGCGCAGTATGAGGCCCGAGTCGGAGTCTCTGGGCAGCCCTTGCCCACCTCTCCAGCGCTGCTGCCAGAACTGCCCTTGCGATCCGCTGTCTCCATTCCCCACCGCCTCCCCTGCTCGCCCTCTCCAGCGCGGGTCAGCCCCCGCCCGGGCTCAGGGAGGGCGTGGCCTCTGCGTCCCCCAGCCCCCCGCCGGGACAGTCCCCGATCCGCCCCCACACCCACTGACCTTGGGCCGGGCGCCCCTCACCTGGCGCTCTGGCGGCGAGCGGCTCCCCCGCCGTGCCCGCGGTGGCCCGGGCCCAAGCAGCGGCCGGGCAAGGGACGCTCGCGCACGCGTACCAGAGCCCCGCACCTCCTGCGCTCGCCGCCGGAGCCTGACGTCGCGAGCGCGGGCCAATCCGGAGGACGCCCGGAGCGGGGTGCGCGGGGAGAGCACAGGGTCCAGGACGGCGGGGCCGCGGCAGCACCACGGACAGCGCAAGGCGGGGCGGGGCCGCTTCTGCGCGCACGCGCAATCGGCCGGTGCGAAAGCCGACGCCGCGGGGAAGGGGGAAGGGCGGGGACGAGGGGCACAAGGACGCCGCGGGCGGGGGCGGTGCACTGGGAATGCCCGGGAGTATCCGGCGAGCTGATGGGGACTCTGGGCGCGCCGGCTGTCTCCCGACCCATCCCCGCCCGCAGTTTAGGGCGGCTGAGCCGGGAGCAGCAGCGGGGCCAGGTCCATGGTGAGAGCGAGGCGGTGGCCCTGCCAGCGCACGTGCGAGGGCAGCGAGGGCGAGCCAGGCCCGTACTCGAAGCAGGCGCTCAGCTCGAAGGCCAGGGCTGAACGCACCAGGCCCACGCCGCCCGCGCGCTCCGGCGCCGGGTGGTACAGGCGCCCGTTGGCGGCCAGGGGCAGCAGGCGCGCCGGCTCGAAGGGCACGGCTAGGGCCTCGCCGCCGCCGCAGTAGGAGAGGCGCGGGGGCCCACTGCCCGCGGCCAGCAGGTGCGTAAAGACCACCGGCCGGTCCTCACAGCGCAGGAAGTTGCGCTCTCTGCCACAGGGCGAAAGGAAGGGGAAGGAGGTCTCGTAGCGCCCGGTGCGGTTGGGTCTCAGGCGGGAGAAGAAGGTGACCAGGAACTGCAGGTCTGGGGAGGTAAAGAGAATGGCTGCTCACCATGCCGGGTGCCTAAGGCCTCCGGGTCCTGGGCCGCACCAGGGGCTGGGGCTGGCGCCGGCGAGTCACCCTGTCTCACTTAGCCGGGCTCCTGGGTGCAGGACAGCCACTTCTTTCGTGCGGGCGGGCTGCCCGCAGGGTAGGGAGTGGAGCCCACCCAGGGAGAAGGAAGAGGCGCGAGAGGGTGGCGCAGCAGTACCTTTGAAGCAGGTGATGAAATTCTTCATTTTGGAATCATCCAGGAAAAGCTGCAGACAGAAAGGCCGTGGCCGTGAGTCCCAGCGTACAGGTCGGGGCAGAGAAGGTCCCGCGGTCCTGAACTCCGGCCTGTGTCCGCTTTCCTTCTTGTCTGCACATCGTGTGCAGACAGGCGCGTGGAAGATGAACCCGGGGCCTTGCCGACTTCCCCACGTCTACCTGTTGTACCACGGGCCGTGTCCCTAGCACATAGGTTCTCCTGGCTGGTAAGCCTTTCCCGCACCTTTTCTCTCCTTTCAAGTTTCTAATCAGTTTTGCCACCTCATCCGTGGCGCCTGCCTGGCCTGCCTCCTCCCGGACATGCCCATGCCCTCGACAGGGCTCCCAAAGCAGGGGGGTACGTCCCGGTGTCTCCCAAGCAGTAGCAAGAGTTCAGCGCCGAAGCTGGGCGCCAGCAGGATGGGATCCAGAGCTGCAGAGCGCAGCGGGGACTCGGCCTGAGTGGGAAGCTGGCCGCTGAGGTCCGAACTGAGCCAGATGCCTCCGTCTCTCTGCACGACACCGCGGCTCTTCCAAGTTGGGTCCGACTACCTTTCAGGCCCCGCCCCTCCCACGAAGGCCCCTCCCCCCGCGAGCGCCCCGCACAGACCCTCCCCGGCGCTCCCCTCACAGGGGCAGCACTCTCGGCCCACCTGGCCCTGATGGTCCACGTAGTAGAAGTACTCGCGTGTCCGGGGTTCGGGGCTCTGGCCCTGCGTGTAGGAGACGCCTCCGTCCTCGCTGCAGGCGCGGGCTCTCCGCGACCGCGCCAGGGCCAGGGCCAGGGCCTGGGCCTGGAGCGCCCGGCACGGCGGCCACATTCGCGCCCCAGCCGGAAGCAGCCGGCAACGCTCGTGGGGGGAGGTGTTGCGTGAACGCGCGCCCCTCAGCGGCCGCGACCTCGCTCTCCGCGTCCCGGCGGCGCCCGCGCCCTCCCGTGGCCTTTGGCCGCCCGCGCCGGCGTCCGATCACCGCGTCTCACCCCGCCCCAGAACGCGGACGCCACCTGCAGGCCTGGGGGACCAGCTGCCCGGAGGCGCCCCCAGCCTCCCACCGCTCCGTCCGCTCGCGCCCCCCCGCCAAGAACAGAGGCGAGGACCAGGCCCGAAGTGTCCACGTGTACTTTATTCACACCAAGTCGCCTCTCGAGTCCGCACGTTAGGGACTGCGGCGACTGCTCCCCCAGGGGACACCGGGCCTCGGCAGGGCTGGGCTTTTTTGTTTTTAATAATAAATAAAAACTCAACTCTAAAAATATATATATATAAAAACCGGGGAGAAATTAAGTTTTACAACAATTGGAACTCAAACTTCCAAAATGGAAAATGTACAAACTGAGACTCTAGATCCCTGCCTCCCAGCAGCCCTGGCCTCGAGTGAGGGCAGTCCCTCCCGGGCTCCTTCCCTCACGTCTGCTGCAGGTCTGGGATCAGATGGGGTAGGGCTTGGTTTTTGGTCAGAAGCCAAGAAAGGTTGGAGAAAAAAAGAAGTAATGATACCAACTTGCTCTGCACAGAGGATGGCTCAGAGATAAATAGCATTTGGGTTAAAACTATGTCATTAGCAAATTTAGTTCTTATATCTTTTGCTCTATTTATATCTCTATACACAGGTGGTCTGGGGTGCAGGATAGATTCTGGATTTACAGTTACACGAAGAAAAAAATACTCTCACCCCTCCCCCACCCTGCCGCAAGAATGCCTGCCCAGCTGGGCCCCCCACCCCGGAGGACTTTGGTTTGGGGGCTCCTTCCCACCCACAGAGAGCCTGCTGGGCTCTGGTCCAGCTGGGCCCTGTTCCGATGGGGGACAGTCCAGGGCCCTGGAGCTCCCAAACTCCTGTGCAGTCACCAGCAGGGGGAGAGGAGGAAGGGAACAGGTCAGGAAGCTCCCCCAGGAGAGGGCAGGGGCAGGGGACAGCTGCAGGCCAGGAGATCAAGGGGACAAGAGAGGGTAGGAGAGAGTGGGGCAGCTGGGCAGGGCCCAGGCCAGTGCCAGGCTGAGCGCAGGCAGCCCAGGGAGGCAGCCAGCCCCAAGGGAGGGTGGTGTGTGCTCTGAGGCTGGGCTGGGAGGGGCAGTGTCGCTCGGCTCCAAGAAACAGAAGGCACTTTCTCGGGGCTGACCTGTGGCCAGCAGTGGGCGAGGTGGTGCCCGTGGGAACTGGCCATGAGGTGGGGGCTGGGGGCACCCTTCCCACAGCTCCTCTGCCCTGGCTGCACCCTCAGACCAGGAAGGAGACGTGGGGAGCGCCTGGGGCCAAGGGCCTGGGTTGGGGAGAGTAGGGGAGTTCCAAGGCTGGGGCCAGGGATTCTGGCCCCTTTGCTTAGAGAGGCAAGTACAGGATTCTGTTGGGGTGGGGGGGCGGTGGCCTGGGTGGGCAAAGGGCGAAGACTGGCATGCTACCTCCCAGCTGGGACATTACCCCCCACCCTCGTGCTCCCCACCTGCCCAGGTGCACCGAGCACCACTCTGCCCCAGCCCACCGGTCCTCGGTTGCCCACTTGCTACAGCACACCCTCCATGAAGCTGGTGTCCAGGTGTTGGATAAGCACTCGCAAGAAGGACATCTCCTTGCGGGTGTTCTCAAAGATGACGCGTGGGTCATCAGATTGGCAGCGCAGGCAGTTGGGTGCCATCACCATGGCCAGGTTGCTGATGTCCATCTTGGTGATGGCAACATTGGCAGGCTGCACGAACACCTGCATGGAGCAGAGGGTGGGTGGGGTGTGGGGCAAGGGGCGGGGAGGGGATGGGCCTGGGCAGGTCCCCCTGTGGCCTACCTGGAGGAAGCGGATGAGGTAGCACAGCACCATGCGGTTGATGCGGGGCAGCGCGTGCACCACGGACACGGCAGCCTCCGGGCTGTCACAGTGCGCAATGCACTGCTCATAGAACTCATGCGGGATCAGGGGCTCCTCCAGTTCTCGGTACCAGAGCTTCAGCAGTGACGCTGGGAACACATCGCCGGGCTCAGCGGGCCTGCTCTGGGCAGGTACCCCTGAGCCAAGTGGGGTCCAGTGGCAGACACATCGAGGGGCGGTAGAACTGACTCACTGGTTGGCCCAGTCTGGAAAGGGTCAACCTGGCCAAGGCCTCTGGGATACTAAGGGCCTGGGCTCCATCCTGGAGGCGTGGGGGATTATGCTGGAGTGATGTGCAAAATATGATTTCTCAAAAGGACTGTGCAGCTGCTGTGAGGAGGGTTTGGTGGGACAGCAGGCAGGGCTGGAGGAAGGCACCAGGACAGAGAGCAGCAGACAGGCAGTGGCTGGGCTGCCCTGCACAGGCCGCACTTGGGATACCCCAGGGACCCTCAGGAAAACTGTCCAATGGGCAGGAGGGTGTCTATGCTGGAGGTGGGCTGGGGAGCTGTTGTAGCACTTAGCAGGGGAGGAAGAGGGTGGGCCCAAAGGTGGAGAAGGAGGGTCCTGAGGTGTGGCCACAGCACCAGTATGCACAGAGGGACGAGGCTGTGGGTGACCCCAGGAAGGGAGGGTGGATGGAGGCCTTGGCCTGAATGGCTGTCTACCCTCTGGGCTGTGGATGTGGACCAGGGGCCCAGGGGACCCCTTGAGACCTCACTGCCTGAGCTAGGCCTGCCCTGCTACTGAGTGTGTTGAGGGCTCACCAGGGACGTGGGGGTCCTCCAGGCCCACAGGCACCTTCCACTGGTCCACCTGCAGCTTCAGGGCATTCACCTCATCGATGTCCCCAGGGACCCTGTGGAGCACAGGGTAGGTCTGACTGGAGCAGCTCAGCCTGCCCAGGGGCTTCATGCCTCAGCCTGGACATTTCCCTCCTGATGGCCCCTGCTGATTGGGGAAGGCAGCAGAGGCTCAAGGCCTCTTGTGGCCCTGAGTGGCCTCTGTCCCACCACGGTGGGTGGTGTGGCTCAGGGCCCGTTTGCCCTCTTCTGGGCTCCTGCTCCACACCTCTCCCCGTCCACCCAGACCTTCCCGGACCCTGTGCTGACTCCCCATGCTGATGCCTTCCTCTGCCGGGCCATGAAGGCTCAAACCCGCATGCCTCAGCTTCCCCAGCTGTCCTTCTGGGGCCTGGGCACCCCTAGTCCTGACAGGTGAGTCATGACAACAGGTGACTGCACAGCCTCGTGCCACTCCCCACAGGGCAGGGGCTGTCTGTTCCCTGTTCGAGGTGAGGCCAGTGAGCTGCCTCGCTGCAGGCTCTGCTCTGCCAGCTGCATGTCCTCTCTGAGGCTCATGTCTTGGGCACCACCTGTGGCTGGTGTCCAAGCACCCTCTGGACCCCTGGAGGCCATTTCTGCAGGGCTGTGCTGCCATTCTGGGGGAAGACTCAGCTGACCTGCCCCCTAAGCACCGGGCCTACCCTGCCTCTCCTGGCCCTTGGTGGCAGCTGCTGCACAGCAGCCATGCCCTTCTGTCTGCTCCTAGGTGGGGGCACAGAAGCAGGCCTGGTGGGCCTGAGGCTTGATAACCCCTGCCTGCTGGAGACCCAGTGGACACATAGCTGTGGCTCCCACACCCAGAGCCCAGGGTTGCTGCAGCACCTGAAGATGCCCTCTGTCTGGTCACCGTTGAGCGCCAGCACCTCCTCAGAGAGCCGAGTCTGTACCCAGGGCAGCTGCCGGTCAGGGTAGCGCTCCTTCTGCATGCTCATGACCTCTTGCAGCGCGCTGCCGAACATGGACGGGCTGAACACGGCATTCTTGGCATGCCGGATCTCTTCCACGTTGGGCTTCTTTAGCCCCTGTGAAAACAGCCTGGCTCTCCCATCCCGGTCTGGCCTGGCCTCCCTGCTTCCAGCCCTCCTCTCCCTGCACCCCTCCCAGGGCTGCCCCTGGCTCAGCCTCCTCTCCTCTCATCCCTATACACTCTAGGCTTCTGCCAAACTAGAGCAGCCCCAGCGCCCTGTCCCTTGAGTCACCAAGGACCTCCTGCTGGGCCCTTCCAGCAGCAGAAGTGTCATGTAGGAAGGGGAGTGGCTCCTGCATAGCCAGTCTGGGCTGTCAGGGACCATGGTGGAAGCCAGGTCAGCAGATCTGGGGGTGCTTCTGAATCAGAGGGGAGGGGGGGAGTAGGAGGGAGGCCAGGCTCTGAGATAGGCACAGGAGGCCACGGGGACTTCCTGATCGGGGCGGGGTTGCAGGGAGAATGGGGTGTGGATGCACACCTGACCTAGGACAGGAGAGCACGTTCAGGACAGGGAGCAAGGTCCTACTGTGTGGCGTGATTGAAGGCTTGGCATCCTCTAGAGGAGGGAAGACAGAGCTGGTGGGAGTGGTGAGCAGGGACAGCTCAGGGCAGGGAGAACAAAGGCCTGTGGGATGCAGGGTGGAGGGGCCGACTGTGTCTGGGGTCTGGACTGGCTTGCCTGGCCTGGGGGTAGAGACCCTAGCGGGGGGCCTGGGCTCTGGGGGCTGCTGGGCCTGGCAGATGGTCACCAGGGCTTGTGCTGCAACCTAGGCATGGGCCTCCCCTGGGTCCAGGGACAGCCTGCCAAGGGGCAAGGGTCACCTCGAGAGGGGTGGTCTCTTGCCTGAGTGGTGGCTAAGGATTCTCAGGGTGAGTGCAGCCAAGAAGCAGCTTCCTGGGGCTCCCCATAGCACACTCTACATGGCTAGCCATGGTTCCCTACAAACTGTGCCCACCCGAGGGCCCCTGCCTGCCCGCCCCTGCCAGTTCCCCCAGAAGCGCCAGTACCTTCTTGGCCCCCGTCAGGGCTGCCTTCTGTAGCTTGTGGTAACAGTACTTGGCATATGTGCTTATCGCCACCCCTGGAAAAGAATGGATGCTGGTCGGCCTGGTGTGGACTTGTGGGTGCAGGGCCAAGAGAGGGGTGAGCAGAGCAGCTCCTTTAAGGGCCCTTGGGGTCTGGGCTGGCCAGGCCCTGGCTACCCCCTGCCCAGTACCATGAGTCCTCATGCTCTCCCAGGCAATGTCCTTTAGAGCAGAGACCCAAGGGGCACTTCCCCACCTCTAGAGGGGCCTGGCTGGGGGAGAAGCCCCTCTACCAGCCCTCCCAGCCCTCCCGTGGCCACCCAGGAACAGGAGGGGCAGGCTGGGGAAGAGGCTTGTTCCCTGTAAGGAGTCACAGGCAAAACAAGGCAGGACCTGGGCCCCAGGGAGCTCTTCTCTGCTTCAGGCCTTCCCTGGCTTCTGGCCTCTGAGTGGGAGCCCCTGGAGGAGGGTCATTTCCACACACTGAGCAGGCCTGAAGACACCCAGCAACTTGGGCCAGTGCTGGGGGAGGAGGAGTCACTGAACTAACTGGACCACAGCCCTCCTGAGGACTGAAGAGGGAAGGAGGGCCCAGTCTTTCTCAAGGGAGAGGCTTTCTAAAGCTCAGCTCCAGGCATCAGAAGTTCTAGCTGACAGTTCTGGAGGGATCGGGGCGGGGGGGGCAGGCAGCATCACCTGAGTGGGCATCTATGGGCAAGGTGTGAGAGGAGGGGAGGGGAAGGAGGTGGTTCTGGAATGTGCCTGACATCTTCCTGGCCCAGGCTGGGAAGGGGAGCAGGAGAGGACACACCAAGAGAAGCCAGGCCAGGGGTGCCACAAATGGACAGGACCCTGTGCTTCTGGACTTGGGACCTGCCCCTCCTGGGGAGCCCCATCTGCCTCGTTGGCTCTACCAACTACCAGGGTGAGGGAGGCCTCTGGATCTGGGCTCTCCAATCGGAACACCTTGGTCTTCTTTGAAAGGAAGCAGTTTCTTGTGGACAGCTGAGGACATGGGGGTCCTTGGACCCCACTTGAAAAACACATGAAAATCTTTTCATTTCTAATTATCATAAAATAGTTATGTCATTATAACTGTTAAGGGGATTCTATTTTAGAGTAACCAAAATGAAACAAAATTTTTTCATAGACGTTTAAGTCCTAGAAAACCTGTCTCAGGTCCCTGCGACCCACAGGCCCTGGTTCCCACCTCAGCCAGCACGGGACAGTGTGTGGAACCTTTGGAACCTTCTACCACAGGCCAATCTGGCCCTTCTGGGCAGGCTCTGGGGCTCCCTTGTTCTGCAAGGATGGGTGGTGCTTAAACAAATAGGACCCAGGCCGTACTCTGACTGTTCAGAGCCTGAGCAGGTGAAGAGGGAGTGAGCTTTGCAGGAAGACAGCAGGTGGCAGAAGCCCAGGCCCACAGCTCAGTGGCTGAGATGCCCGATTACTGTGTCCCTGTGGGAACAGGCCGTGACCTCCTGTTTCAGGTGGCCCCTGGTGGGACAAACACCAGGCCTTCAGCCTAAGTCTGCTTAGGACCAGGTCCTCTCCCCAGCATGCTGTCGTCTGGGAGATCCTGGGTCCACAACCTCTCAGCTGGTGAAAGTGGGCACGATGCAACCTCTCTGTGTCTCAGTTTCCTCCTTGCAGGATGGAGACACCTGTCTCGTGGGTGCCTGTGAAGGGCTGGGCCTAGAGCCCAGTACCAGTGACTGCTCAGCAGATGGGGGTGGGGATATGGGGGTGTGGACCAGTGCTGAGGCAGAGGCTACACTAAGGTCTAGGGGACTGGGCTGACCTCTGCTTGTGCTGCCTTGGGCACAGGGCCAGGCACCAAGGGGCCCCTGCTAAGTACCTGTGGTGGGTGAATGGGCAGGGCCCACGGCCAGCCCAGGGAGACCCTCACCCTATGGGGTGTTATGTTCAAAGTCCACTGCCCGAACTAGCCTTGTCTGGACCTCAGCCCTCAGCTACATTCACCTGGCTGCAGTCAAGCCCAGTTTTACAGGTGAGATGGCTGCCCACAAAGGAACCAACAGAAGTAACCCTCCTAGGGATGTGCTGCTGTGCTTGGGGCCCAGGCCTATCCTGGGGGCCTCAGTGCCCAGGTCACAGGCCTCAGAGGTGGCAGGGTGTGGCCAGGGCCTGCTGGGTCCAGGATGGGTCCTGCTCCTGACCCACCTTGGGCTGCAGTGTCCTGTTTGGCTACCCCCGGGTCCACAGGAGCCTGTTCCCTGCCCCACCTGGCTGCAGCAACAAGACTCACGGCCAGCCAGTGTCTGTCTAGCTTCCAGGCTGCCAGCCACCAGCTCACGCAGGAGCTCAGAGCTCCTTCCATGCTGTCCCTGGTCTGCAGCTGGGTGAGGCTGGGCAGGTAGGCCCTGGCACAGACCTGCTAAGGGCAGTCTGGGATGTCACAGGGTGAGGACAAGTCCCCAGCCCCGCAGATGCCATCCTGGCATTGCCCATGAGGATCTCTCTCAACCCTGCACCCTCCTGCTGGCCCGAGTTTAATCAGGCCTCATCTACAGAAAGCCTCCTGGCCTTGTGCTGGGGCCCCATGGGCCACATGTGGTCAAAGAGTGCTTCCTAGAGGGAGTTGAGCGGAGAGAAGGTGGCAGAGGTTCTGGACAGCTGAGCAAGCCTGAGCCAGGGCTTGGTGGGGCAGTCCCAGAGGCCCTGGTGCAGGGAGGAGCTGACCTGGCCTGCAGGGAGGGCACAGCCCTGGGTTTCCTGAGTTTACAGGGCTTTCCTGGGGCTCTGACCAGGTGGGGTGGTCCTGAGCCAGGGCCTAGGGAAGGGCCAGGAGGTGGGCAGGTGACTGTGTGGCTGGGGAGGACTCTGGCAGGGGAGGCCTGGGGGCCCATGATCAAAGAAGGGAGGTTCCCTGCTGACTTCTGAATGCTGGGTCAGGCGCAATCACTCACCTAGGGGGGCAACTCCAGTAGGCCCTGGCCAGCTAGTCTTCACAGCCCACCCTACCAAGAACCCACCAAGCAAGTTGGAAACTGCTCTGAGCACCACCAAGGTGTAGCAAGTCTCTCCAGCTCCCTCAGGAGGCCCTAGGCCTGAGGTTAGTGGCCCCAACCCCCAGCCCAGAAGCGGTTAGAGAAGAGAAGGCCAGGCGGCCATGGCTGGAGAGCAGAGCTGTGCAGACGCAGCACACGGGGGCTGCAGGGAGAGGCCCTACCATCCGGCTCTTCAACATAAGGCTTGGGTTTCTTTCTCAGTTTGGACTTCTTCTTAGTGTTTCTTTCCAGGAGCGCTTTTATGTGCTGTGTCACTGGGGAGCAAAGAGAACCGTGAGGACCACAGAACACAAATGCCCACGCAGTTCCCGTGCCTGGCTGGTGAGGAGGCCCCTGGGCCTGTGGGAATGACCCCATCCAACTGGGGACTGAGTGTTTCTGGGGGCGTGTGGCTGTGTTTGCAAGGACTGGGAAGCTGGCCCTTGCCATGCTGGAGTGGGTGGAAGGTGCAGGGAAGCTCCTGCTCAGTGGGGTGGGGTGCAGTCAGCTCCTGGCTCTCTGGCTGACAGCAAGGCTGGGGCAGCCACGGGCATGGGCTCCTGAGCTGGCGAGGAGGCACTCAGCCCACCTGCCAGCCAGGAAACCAATGGAAACAAAGCAGCAAAGGTGGCTGGCCTCACACCAGGCACTGTTGAGAGGAGGGAGAGAGGAGGGGGCTGGGTTCCCCTCAGGCAAGCATGGCCATGTCTCCCACTCTGCAGAACTTGTTGCTGTCAACTCAGGTCACCTGGCTAAGGTCATGTCTGTCAGGTTTCTGCACTGTAGTGTCACTGTTTCCCCTTCTACACCATCCTCTTTGGATGAAAAGGGTGGAGTATGTACATAAATTATTTGTAATTATTCTTCATAAATGTATCTATTCTTATCTATCTAATCATTTATTTATATCAGTATGGATTGTGGATATTTATTTTATACTTTGAGTTACAATCCAATGTGGCTTTATTTTTTTGCTCAAATTGCTCCAGCCCTGGCCACTGGGAGCTCCGTCTGTTGGCTCCAGTGTCCCTGGGATGGCCCCATCCTTTCCCACCACCTCTGGCACTTCTTTACTTTTGACACTACACCTTGTATATTCCCTGCACCAGGCCTGGAATCAGCCAGTGATTCTAGATCTCTAGAAACCAAGATCTGGTGTTAGATGTGCTCATTGCTGCTGGGGTGTCATTTTCCAGGCTTTCTTGGCTGACACACTGAGAAAATGTGTGTGTACTGACCTGTGTACACACGCAGCCACAAAGGCTTCCATATGCAGCCATCTGTATCCATATTGTGCTAAACATGGGTTCACAGTGATGCCTCCAACTCTAATCCATCACCACATGGAGCATTCTAGCTTCCTCTGCTTGCTTATCTGTAACTGGCTTATCCTCTCATTCTCTTAACAATGTCTTTTGTAGGAGATTTGATTTTGATGAAGTCCAATTTATCAATGTTTATATAAAAATCTTTGCCTAACTCAGGAAAACAAAGATTTTCAATGTTTTGTTCTAAAAGATTTATACTTTTAGGTTTTATATTTTGGTTTGTGATCAATTTTCAGTTAATTTTTGTGTATAGAGCAAATTATAGGTGGAAATTGATCTTTTTTTGCATTTGGATATCCAGTTCTTCCAGCACCATTTGAGAAAAGACTATCCTTCCTTCACTAAATTGCCTTTGCACTGCTGTGCAAAATGACCCATATATATGGGGTCTATTCCTGAACTCACCACTCTGCTCCACTCACCCACTGTCTGCCTTTATGCCAATACCACACTCTCTTGATTATTGTGGCATTACAGCAAGTTAGGTAGTGGAAGTCCTCGAACTTCGTTCTTTTTCAAAAGAGTTTTTTAGCTATTCTCAGTCCTCTATATTTTCTATGAATTTTAGAATCAGCCTGTCAATTTCTAAAGTTAAAAAAAAACTTAAAATTTTTATTAGGATTTAATCTATAGCTCAATTTGGGTAGAACTGACATCTTAACAATACCGAGTCTCTCCCCCGCCCCCCCAGCTAAAAATTCTTTTGTTAGGGAAGTAGAGGAAGGCATGCTGGGAGATAACGAGCAATCTCTCCTCACCACCCCTCTTCTGATTCATAAACACAGTAACCTTTTCATTTATTTAGGCTTAATGATCAGCAATACTTCGTACTTTTTGCTACAGAGGTCTTACACATCTTTTGTCAGATTTATCTCTAAGTATATTATATTTCTAAATGCTATTTCAAATGGTATTTAAAAAATGTCAATTTCTAATAGCTTGTTGCTAGTAT